TTTTGACATAAGTAAAAATGGACAGATTTCACTTCATTTCCTAGAAGGATCGTAATGGTCAGATATAAAGACTGAGTAAATTTTTAGAGGATGCTGGGAATCTCTGTAGATGTCACTAGTAGAAAGTATCCCTTGAGTAGGACAGAAAACTATATATGTTAAGGAATACACAGATTTTTCGACAAAATACAGTTTTATGATATCAGACAATATGTTTTAATATTCATAATGCTGTAGACTACTCTGAACTCTCATTCCCGAATCCATCATTCCAGAAGGAAGAGGAAAAACTACTACTCAGATATACTCAGAAGGAATCCCCTGGGCTGATACACTGTTGTTCATTTTTCATCTTGTAAAGCAATTTTTAATTCTGACCACAAATACCACTCTTCATCTGGAATGACACAGCCATCAGTTTTGTAAATGCATTATATTTGTCAGAGATACTCAGCACTGGCTGAATTTCTGAAATCTTTATATTGTGCTTCATATAATTTTTTTGAGTCAATGTATAGAACAGCGACATCAAATTTCCTTCTCTGCTTTTTCCAGGTACTGTCCAGGAAAAAAAAATACCAAAAACCACTGATTAATTGTATTCATTCAAATTTCTGACATGCTGTTAAATGCAGGGGAAAGTCTCTGGACCTTCCTTGTCTTTGGTAGTGGCAGCAGGTCTCTCAAAGAAACTTAGGTATAAATCAAATTGCATGTTCTGAACAGCATGCACAATAAACAACATGCTTCTCAACTAAGAAAGAGACAGTCCAATATTTAAAGTTTTTTGTTTCTTTTTTTTTTTATATTTGCATAGACAAATTCATTCTTAGCCTTTCAATAAAAGCTAGGCATTTTTTTCAATTACATTTTCAGAATTTGCATGCAATTTGGAACATTCAAGTTATTGTAGTGTCATTACTTTAGCAGCACAGTGACTTCAAGCACAATTATTCTATGAACCAAACCCAAATGTTTTGTAAATTTCTAAAATTAAAAAAAAATTATAGAAAGTAGATTTCATATTCAGTATGTACATTGGTTGGAACGTATTGGTATAAAAACAGTTGCTCAGGAATTCTTCGTTGTTTCTAAGTGTAGTTGAAGGAAAATGCTTTAAAATTATGCATTTTTTAAGTTCTTAATATCAAAAATGCTGGCTTTAATAAAATCTGTTAGCAATTTCACTTGTAAGATCAATATTGTTACTGAAGTCTGTAGCTTTCTGGTGGATTTTTCTACATTTTGTCATTGTAAAATCTCTTTGCAATGGTGTTTGCATTTCAATTTAATAAAAGCTCTTGAATAGAATTCACAAAATATTCTAGTTTTCCTCCTAAAAAAATATATATTAATTCCACTATATATAAAAAGGAAAAATCAGAATTCAGCACAGTTTGTAGGACAGGTTCCCACATATTCCACATGTTGAAGGCCCAGTGATAGATATGTTTAGCCCACTGAATATGCAGGAGACCTCATACTGCATTATTGAAAGAGCCATGTACATCCATACATCCAAACCTGAGTATAAAAGAATCTCCTTTGTGAAGAGGAAGGGCTTCTGATTTCCTGGAGAAGCTGTTTGGTTTACTCATGTTTATTTTCACTCCTAGACATATTCTTCAGAGAACAAAACAAGTAGTATATTTACCTAATCCAAACTTGTGGAAGAGAAGGCAGAACTGGAGGGAAGTGTGAGTTGCTATTGCCTACAATTGGACTGTGAGGTTTCATGGAAATTACAGAGTAAATGCAGAAAGCTCTTTCACAAGGTCACTACTTTTAGGCTCATGTTTCCTTATAGTTCTCTTTTATTTTTCTTCCACTGAAATTCAGGCATTTTGAGTTTTCACAAGTTTTTCACAAGTTTGATTGAAGTTTGACTGAAGAAGTTTGAGAATTTGGAAGTACAAATGTATGTAAGTAGTTCACTCGTTAGCAGAAAGTGGAAATCTCTGACCCATCACAGCAACATCAGAACATTTTCCTGCAGAACTGGGGCTGCATTTCAGGGTAGGCAGTCTTCTACCTCCAGGGTTGCTAGGGTTTTTTTTGCAAAATATTGCAAAATATTATCCATATGAATCACAGAATGTTTGGGTTGGAAGGGACCTTTAAGATCATCTAGTTCCAACCCCCTGCTATAGGCAGGGACACCACCTTCTACACAAGGTTGCTCAGAGCCCCATCCAGTCTAGCCTTCAATGCTTCCAGGGAGGGGACATTCACAAGTTCACTGGGAAACCTGCTTGCCTTCCTTTCTCTTGAAATGCACTCCTGGGCTTGGAGGACAAGATCCTTGAATACTGATCATCTTTATTGGGCCCTTCTTCCCTCCAGGGCCTTATTCCATGTCACTCTGCCAAGCAGTTCCCTGAAGAGATCAAAGTTTGCTCTCCTGAAGCCCAGAGCAGTAAGCTTGCTGTGTACCTTTGATGGCCTAAGGATAATTAACTCCACAATTTCATGGTCACTGGAGCTAAGGCTGCCCTTGAGTTTCACATTACTCATTAGTTTCTCCTTGTTGATGAGGACAAGGTCCAGCATAACACTTTTTCCTGTAGGTTCCTGTAAAACATGGAAGTTATCAACAACACATTCCAGGAATCTCTTTGATTGCTGATGCCCTGCTGTGTTGTTCCTCCAACAAATATTGGGGTGCCCATGATGATCATGTTTTTTGAATGTGAAGCTGCTCCTATCTGTTTATAGAAGGCCTCATCCATTCGGTTTTCCTGGTTTAGCAGCCAGTAGCAGTTCCCACTACAAGTTTCCTTCCCCTGCCTTCCCTTTAAGCCATAACCTCTCAGTCAGCTCTTCATCTATCCACAGGTGCAGGTCCATGGACTCCAGCTGGTCATTGATGTATAAGGCAATACCCCAATCCCTTTTCCCTTGCCAGTCTTTTCTAAAGAGTTTATACCCATCTATTCCTACATTCTAGTCATGAGAGCCATCCCACAACATCTCAGTGATGCCAATAACATCATAGCCCTGTAGGCATGCACATGCCTGCAACTCTTCTTGCTTGTTCCCCATGCTCTGTGCATTAGCATATAGGCATAATTTTCACTGGCAATTGTATGTAATTACAGTGTATACTGGTTACTAGGGAATACCATCACAAATCTATTTCTTCTGGTACTATTTAGTATTATTACAGTGAATGGGGAAAAAATGAAAGAAGGCAAATTGGTCTGCTTTCCAAAAATAAACCAGGCTAAAACTAATATTACTTTTGTCTGTAGAAATATGTTGGGAATTTAAACTAAAGTACATTAATTGAGTTTCGTGGGATAAAATTAAACCAGGGTGTAAACCCTAAATGAAAGCAGCATTTACATTCATTCAAAATGTCCTGAAGTAGTCATTACGGTTGGTATAAAATTGGAATTTTTCATGGTTTGGAGAAAAAAAAGAAAAAGTGATTATAGAATCATAGAATCATAGAGTGAGCTGGGTTGAAAAGGACCTCAAAAATTAACTAGTTTCAACCCTCCTGCCATGTGCAGGGTCACCAACCACCAGACCAGGCTGCCCAGAGCCACATCCAGCCTGGCCTTGAATGCCTCCAGGGATGGGGCATCCACAGCCTCCTTGGGCAACCTGTTCCAGTGCGTCACCAACCTCTGGGTGAAAAACTTTCTCCTAATATCTCACCTAAACATCCCCTGTCTCTGTTTAAAGCCATTCCCCCTTGCCCTATCACTATCCACCCTCATAAACAGCCATTCCCCCTCCTGCTTACACATTCCCATCAAGTACTGAAAGGCCACAGTGAGGTCTCCCTGGAGCCTTCTGTTCTCCAAGCTGAACAAGCTTGGTTCCCTCAACCTTTCTTCACAGGAGAGATGCTACAATAATAAATGTAAATAATGAATAATAACAACTTTGTCAGCCAAAAGCAATGTGACTCTACTCTTCCTCTATACGGAAGAAAAGGATCTGGGGGTGTTACCTGACAGCTGACTAAACATGAGCTTGCTGTGTGCCCAGGTGGCTAAGAAAGCCAATAGCATCCTGGCTTGAGTCAGAAATAGTGCAGACAGCAGGAGCAGAAGGTGATCATCCCTCTGTACCTATACTGGAGAGGCTGCACCTTGAGCACTGTGTTCAGTTTTTGTCCCCCCACTACAAGAATGGTACATGAGTGCATCCAGAGAAGGGCAGTGAAGCTGTGAAGGGTCTGGAGAACAAGTCTTATGGGGAGCAGCTGAGGGAAGTGGGATGTTTGGAGGAAGCTTAGGGGAGACCTTGTTGCTGTCCTCAGCTCCCTGAAAGGAGGTTGTGGTGAAGCAGGGGTTGGCCTCTTCTCCCAGGTAACAGCAATAGGAAGGGCAGTGACGGCCTTAAGTTGTGCCAGGGGAGAATCAGTTTGGATGTTAGGAAAAACTTCTCAGAAAGAGCAGTGAGCTATTGTAAGACTCCCATGGAGCTGGTGGCGTCATCGTCCTTGGAGTTGTTTGCTGACCTTGGAGCAGACACAGGCATGGGCTGACAGTCGGATTAGATGGTCTTATTGGCTTTTCCAACCTTGATGAGACCATGACGCCATTTCCCCGACTTGTCATTTCTGCCAAGGCCCCACACACCCACACTCAGCCTTGGGAGTGCTTCCTCTGTTGAGTGATGGCCAACATGCAGAAGATTTACCAGCATTTCAGAGCGATGAGAAGCACTCCCTCGTAACCATATTCCTCATGGCCACACGTTCAGCATTCGCCACTGCTCCAAGGTGTTTATGCTTCTTTAGTACAATGAGTGCTTTACATACAATGAGTGATTATTTTACCTTCATAAAAAAAAGAAGAAGAAAGAAATGCAACCCCGGGTAGCTCAGGCACGGCCTTGCACATCGCGGTCAGCCTGAAGTCAGGGACGCCCCGGTGGCCTTCAGCCTCGAGCGGAGCTGCGCGCCCCGTGCGGACGGCCGCTACGGGAGGACAGCGAGGGGAGGGGCGAGGGCAGCGGCCCCTGAGGCGGCTGTGGCGGCGGGCATGGCGGGCGGGCTGGGGCGCGGCAGGCGGCTCGGCGGCGGTGAGGGAGCGGCTGCGGGAGGGACGGGCGGTGATAGCGGCCTGCCGGGGGCTGAGGTGGATCTAGTCCGCAGGAACGCAGCTCCGAAGCTCTGCGAGCCCGGGCGGGGGCTGGGAGTCCGGCCGGCCGTAGAGTGCCTTTGTTGTGAGGGGGAAAGGAGCGCTTCGAGGCGGGATGTTGTTCCTGTGGAAGCAGAGCTTGTCGGGATTTATGGGTTTTAATTGATATTTTCTGAGCGGCTGGCACCTGATTTATTTCGGGGAGCTTTGTTTCTCATTCCTTCAGGTTTTAACGTGCGTCAGGCGTCGCGTAGAACCGGAGGCACTGAAAAACGAAGGAGTCACGCTCTGCTGGCAGCGTTGGGGTGCAGAAAGAGAGCGCCTCGAAGCACAGCTGTGTACGGCGCTGTGCCGCTGCTCAGAGCTGCTCTGCAGTCCTGGGGAAAAGGGCTCTGCTCATGCTGCTCCTCCGTGAGAGCTGTCAGAAGCTGTTTTTTTTTCTTTCCCCGTCAAAAATAAGACACATTTTGCCTTTACAAAAACAGAGTATTTAAGTAATTTTCTTCCACCCGAAGGAAATATCTCAAAAAAAAAAAAAAAAAAAAAAAAAATTGCTTTAATGGTAGCCTGTGTGTTCTGTGAACAAGCTTATTGAGAAACTCTTTCAGATGTGCACTTTGATTCAGGCTTGGTAATTCTGCTACTGTTTTGCAGTTGTCTTTAGGCAGCAGAAATGGAAAAGCTCTGTGTCCATGCGGGCAAAAATGCCTCCTTGCAGCTTTGTACCTGAAAAATACCGAGTAAGTCACGCTGCACTCAGATTTATGTAAGACTGCAATATGAGGTCTGAGTGATAACCTCATCTGTCCACCAAACAGGACCTAGGGAATTTTTTTTTTTGTTTATTAGAACCATATCATAACCCAGAGATGTACCTGTGCAACATCTCTGTAATTTATGGCTAAACTGTTGGTTTGAAAGACTTCAAGGATAAGTAAGCATAGAACAGCAGCCTTGGTTCAAAAATATATTTGTATATTTTGTATATTAAAATTTTTGTTGTGTGAACAACCACTGCCATTCCATTAGTCTGGATCTTTAGAATGCATGAACAGATATTGACTTTTTTATTTCCCTCAGTCGTATCCATATGAGCATATGCTGAAGATTCGTGAACAGAATATTGCTCCTTCACTGCGAATGTATTACAAGAAGCCTTTGTTGCTGCATCAAGGACATATGCAGTGGCTGTTTGATTATGAAGGACAAAGATATCTTGATCTCTTCGCTGGAATTGTTACTGTCAGTGTTGGTCACTGTCATCCGTAAGTATGTTACTGATTGATTTACAAAATTGCAGTACAAAATGCAGGAGAGATACTTTTGATGGCTTTTTTCTTTGTTAATCTCAGGCACTGTGAGCCAAAGGTCAGGATATAATTCACTGGATTTTTGTGTATTATAATTAGGTCAATTTCCACAATATTTTGAATGATTCATTCATTTATTTGCTCATCTATATGGCAAATGCAGCCATGTCTGGATTTTCAGCATAGTAATGGAAGTAGGGGTGTGTGTGCTAGTATACATGTGTGCTGAATTAAAACCCTGTGTCTCTTCTTGTGCTACCTGCAGGAAGGTAACTATGGCTGCCCAGAAACAGCTTGCTTGCCTTTGGCATACCACTAATATTTACATGCATCCATCAATCCATGAATATGCTGAGAAGCTAACTTCACTTCTTCCAGATCCACTTAAGGTACTTCACTTGTGACAGGAGCAAGGGGTGGGAGATGGGGATGTCTGTTTATTAAATAGAAATATTTATTACATACATAAATGAGAGCCACAATATCTGCAGATGGAAACCCTCTTCACAGGCTTTCAGGTAAAGAGAGCATGATGAGCCTCTAGACTTTTTCTTTAGACTCACTCAGATGTAGACAAGTGTAATGAGCCAAGCTCCTGCTGTTCTACTTGGGTCTTTCTCTCCAGTAAATACTCTGAAGGGATGGTGCCAGTTTAAAAATGACTGAAGTAGCTGAAATGCTGTTAACTGTTGTTACATGTAATCAGCCTTAAGTGGATCTTGAAAAAATTATAAGAGAAAAATATTTGACTGCATTTTGGGTAGTGAGTTTTACTGCTATTTAAGTAAACAAACCACATAAATGTCATGTGTCATGTTCACAGAATCAGTAGGAAATGTACTGTGATTTTTTCAGGTAAAAGAAACCAGTCATAAAATTAAATTTGGTTACTAGAGATGTATGAAGCTATTGCAGTCTTAGAAGAGCTTTAAAAATAAGTGAATGTAAAGCATCTGCATAGAATAAGCAGTGGAGTATCTCAGTCTCCTCTGAAAATAAAACTTAAAAGCTGTGCTTCCTGAAAAGAGGTGTAATGAGGAGAATGACCTTGACTGGAGCTCAGTAAGGACCAATTTCAAGAAGAAGCAGAGACTCCTTGCTTGATAGGAGACTAAGTACTTCATAGATCTGAGCTCCAATCTGCCCATTCAGTTAATGGTCCTTCCGACCCCTGCAACTCTGTGATTCTGTGAAACAAGGGAAGACAGCTGAAAAGGGAGGGAAATCAATAAAAGAGGAAAACAACGGGAAGAGATCCCCTTAATTTTCATTTGCAACCAGTAAGCAAACTCTTCTTTTCCGCTGTTGTGTCTCTGTCTTTCTCTCCTTGTAACTGTTGTACAAGGGTAGTACACAGCTATTTTTACCTGTGTTAAAGTTATTCAGTTAGTCAGCTCAGTTTTACCCAAACTTTTTTTTCTCTAAACCACTTTTACATCTTAGATGTGAGATGGAAAACCTGAAGATTTCTGGTATTAAATATTTTCTGTACTGTCTTGTAGTAGATAGACCATCTTGATCATCGTTCCCATCTGTAGTCTGTGGGCAACATGAAGTTTACTGCAGTGAAATTGCTTTGTAGTAGTGAAAGTTTATTCCTCATAGTGTTATGAAGTGACATCTAAGCAGGTTGTGGTTATGCACTACACTGACCCTAAGCATTCTTCTGTAGGTGGTTTACTTAACCAACAGTGGGTCAGAAGCCAATGATTTGGCCATGTTCATGGCAAGGTTATATACTCGGAACTTTGATGTCATCTGTTTCAGGTAATGGGATTCTTTTAATCAAATTAGCTGTGTGTGTAATTGGTTTCTGTATGCCTAAAACAAGAAAATAATCGAAATGTCTAACAGCAGATCTGCTGAGGAACTCCTGTTCTTTGTCCAATGTTAGTGGAGGACATTAGGACTCATTTGCATAGGAAACACAACGGGCAATTTCTGCTTTTCTTATTTGGTAAAAAAAAAAGCTAGTCTAGCTCAGGCTATGCCGCAGTGGACCTCCATTCAGGGTCAGAGCAGTCTTCAGCAATTACTGCTTTCCTCATCTGTTCTGACTCTGGTATCATCTGTGGGAGTTCAAAGGTACCTCTGGAATAGCAGTGCAGTGAACCACAGAAGGGAATTGATCTGGCTGAAAACTATCCTGGAGGAAAGATCTTCTGGTTTTGTTTGTTTTGTTGCCTTGTATTTCTGCCAGATCCCTGAACCACAGTTCACTGCACAGCTACACAAACAGTTCTTCTGACTTAACCACAGGGGTAGTGCAGAGGTGAGGGCTATGTAAGCACCAATGTGAGAAATTCTTGTTACTGTGCTTCCAGACAGCCATAGTTAATAGAATGAAAGGCCATGTTATGAAGTGCTGTATTTTTCTTCTGTTCTGTTCAAGAAATCATTGAGTATCTACCTGGCTTACATATTCTGCATAATGAACTTCTGATTTGTGTATAAAACTAGCAGTGAACTTCTATGTAGTTTAATGATTGGCAGTATCTGTTTGAGAGAGCAGCAGTTCCTGTGATTGAAAGAACACAGATGTTTACTCTGTAGGGTTCTGGTGCTGCAGAACTCTGTGAAACACTTCCATAAAATCTTCCTGAAATGCTACCAGTTCTAGTTCTCATACTCTTGTCTTTCTGAACACAGCTCACAATTACAATGTGTGAAACTGCAGGAAACCGACATAGATGGGCAGTTGAGGAGCTTCCAAAAACAGAGCAAAAAAAGGCAGTATGAATCTTCTTGTTTCGAGTGTAGCAATAAACACTTTTCCCAATAATGTGTAGCTCATAGGCATGCCTTCTCAGAACTGATAGTTCTACAGTCTCTCTCTGAAAGTGAGTAACATTCTTGTACTTTGTCTGTTTGCACAGAGGAGCATACCATGGAGGCAGTCCTTACGCGCTGGGTTTGACGTCTATCGGTTCTTATAAACATGGTGTTGCCAATGGCATTGGCTGTTCAACAGTGAGATTATATTTTTTAATATAATAATAATAATCTGAGTAAATAGAAATGTATTTGAACATTTAAATGATTAGTAAGCTTCTGTCTTCAAAGTGCCTAGTAGTTACTGATCACATTAACGGTGTGTTCCTACAACAAGAGCCGGATGCTCCATGTAGATTTACTTATCCTAATTTAAATTTGGGACAATCATAACATGAGTTATCATGATTTACAGTGCTTCATTTTTTGCTTGGTACTCTCATGCAAGTTCATCTATGTGCAAAGTAGTAATAGTCAAGACTCTTTTTTTCGTGTTTGCTTTGGCAAATCTGTGCAAACCTGATTTCTGTTGATCTGAAGATCATCCTGCCGAGGAATGAAAATGAACATATCCTTTTTGTCAGCAAGAGAAGGGATATATCTGTTACTGAAATCCATAGAAGAAAAATGGCAATGAGTTACATCTGTGCCCTTGAGAAGATGAGAATGGCTCTCTGATTACCAGAAGATGGCACTGGATATTCTGGTCTGAACTGGCAGTACAGCCACAGCATGAGCTCTAGGAAGGCACTCTTAGAGCAGATTCACAACCTGGTTCACTAGATGAAACATTCCATGTCTTCAGACAACTCATCAGCAAGATTAGGCAGGAATTCCCAATTTTCAGTCTGCTGTAATATCAGCCAGCTTTCCAGTATTTTGCCGATTTTGTGATACTTTATATTATTGAAGTACTACTGGCAACTCTGACAATGCTGCCTTTAATCTTAGGTAACCATAAACGCTGACTAACTCAAAGAGCAAACTAAAGGAAGCAATCAATTGTATCACTACTGCAGGAATACCCATGTGGAGGAATTTTGATATTATTTTCTGAGTGTTCTTTGGACAAGTCTCTGGAGCTAGATATTCAGTTTAGCAGGTTTTTTTTTGTTGTTGTTGTTTGTTTATTCATTTGCTTGTTTCATTAGAGTCATCCCCAGGTATGAGTAACATTAGAAACTCTTAGAAAGCTGTCATCAGATATTTCTTTTATCTTTGACAGACAATGTTACCAGATGTTTTTCGTGGTCCATGGGGAGGCAGCAATTGTAGAGATTCACCAGTGCAAACTGTTCGAAGATGCAGCTGTTCTGAAGGTTGGTAAATGGTAAAAAGTATGTGTATTTTAGATTAGAGAATACTTGGGAGCTGTAGGAGTAAGGCGTATGATTAGATTATTGTTTAGGTTGCATTTACCTCCACCAGAAAGATGGCCATTCCTCACCAGACCTCTGGTTAGGATTTGCAAGAGTATTTAAAGCAAATATTGCAAAAACCTCATGTACCTGCTTCCCACAGGAAAAAATATTGGTCATATGCTCAAATTTCTTCCAGAAATCCTATTTCTAGCATTTTTCATGATCAGCTCTGATATTCGGGATCCTGTGGAACTCAAAACTTTGTACATCAGAAAGAACAGAAATGTTGGTTACGTTTCATGCATATCATACAATGTGGAAGATCCTCTAGTGCTCTCCTTTTAGTAGTAAATTCTGTATTTTTGACACTGTTTCAGTAGGCTTTTTTATTGTTTTAATTCACATGCATATAAAATATTTTCTTCTTAGTTTTGCCCTCTGTAGTGATCAGGAAGATTAACTATACTAATTGCTCTATTCTTCATTACAGCATAGACTGATATGCAACTGTATTCTCCAGAATCCTCGTATCTGCACTAACACAATGATTCCCTATGCCTTATGCTGACATTTATTAACCCCTGAGAAAATGTTTGCTTATTTCTTCTGCTGATGTGAGTGATTCAGAAACACTTTCTCCAATGTACAGATTACTTAGTTATGTTATATGTAAAACGTCTGACAGCTTTGCCAGTTTCAAAACTGGCAGTCTTTGGAGTATAAATAGTTTAAGAGAACATGAGGGGCTCCTTCCTGTAAGATTTAGAATTTTTTATGTATTTGGGAGGTGATATTTACGGTATGGTCAAGTAGTACTTGTGGATTAGATGTGCAATTTCATGTGTTGATGCTGCCTCTACCACTTTAAGTAAATGGTCTCTAAAATATTTTCCCTCTAAGCAGGTGTATGTCATGCAAACGAACAGTACATTGAACAGTTCAAAGATACTCTGGACACTTCTGTGCCAAAAACAATAGCTGGATTTATTGCTGAACCAATTCAAGTAGGTAGTTTGCCATTTCTCGGTTCTTATAGCACATAAAGTTTAACTCTGCTTTTACTTACTAAGCCCTGATCTAAGGAGCCATTGTATTCTAGGTATGGAGTAGAATTTCTGAATAAAAAGAAAACTGGAAACGTGAACAAAAATTTAGGAAACAGTATTCTAAACAACTTTACCAAAGAAGGAATATCAATTAGGTTTCCCACCAATCTGTTTATGTCTTTCTCAGTGCACAGGTTTTCAAGGTACTTGTTTTGGCAGTTTAGCTTTAACCCTGTCTTACAGTGGTTGGTTTTACACTATGGCCTCACAAACATTTATACAAGCACAACTCACAGAACAGAATGGGAATATGTGACCTGAGCAGTTTCAATGCTGAAGCCAGAAATTTGAGACAACAGTCTTGCTATTACCTGAGGGCTGCTGATATTTTTTCTCACTATAGGATAGTCACCCAGCAAAATTCCTGTTTCTTTTTCTGTTCCTGAAGACATTTTCTTTTTTGTCTTGGCAGGGTATTAATGGAGCTGTTCAGTATCCAAAAGGTTTCTTAAAGGAAGCTTATCGGCTAGTACGGGAAAGAGGAGGTGTTTGTATTTCAGATGAAGTGAGTGTTTTGACCTAAAAACTCTGAAGTTTTATCTATCTCTGTAAGTCTTCTGAAAATCCACATAAAGGCAAACTGGAACTCTATGAATAAGGGAAATGACAAATATTTCATAGATTAAGGATATCATAGTGCCTTTTTTCAAGTCTCCTGGTTTTTACTGCCTTTATTCTGCACTGTGATATTCTAATTTTAGACACAGGTAAGGCTTGTAGCAGGCTTGAGTCTTTAGGTTTTAGGAGTAGCATAGAATAAATTTTCAAAAGCATGCAGTTAATAAATGCCAGCTGTGGTCTGGTTATTGTCACAGTAACACTCTTTCTTACAAGCGTTGTTGGGGTATGTGAACTCTAGAAAGGGTTTATTTTGCTGTTCCTTTTCAACTATATTTTCTAAATAAAATATGCCTATTGCCATACTCCTGGGACTGTGCTACTTGCCTCAGATAGAATAGATCAGCTGGAATAGGATTGCTATTTTGAAACATGCTAACAATTGCATTTCTTCTCCATTTATAAGTGGATGCTGCAGTGTGTCTGTACATTGCAACCTGCCTAAGATACAGTGAGATGTTAGCTATTCCATTTGCAGAAGAAAGAAACAAATTATAATAAGCAGTATTTTGTGTAAAGCTACCCAAGTAAGGATCTTACTACAGCAGTTGATTCTAGGTGTGCTTGCAGATCAACAATAATGGAAAGAAAAGAAAAATGAACTGTATTGTAAAATGTGAGAAGATAACGGAGATTTCTCTGGATTTTTCCTTTGAAAGGTACAGACAGGATTTGGACGGACAGGCAGCCATTTCTGGGGATTTCAAACGCATGATGTAGTCCCTGACATAATTACTTTAGCAAAAGGAATTGGTAATGGCTTTCCAATGGCAGCTGTTGTTACAACAAAAGGTATAAGCATTCTGTTCAGCTAAAGATCGAAATAGGGCAAACACATAATACACTGCACAATTACTTACTAGGGAGGTGCATGTTCAGACAACTAAGATTATTCATAAATCTTAGTCTCAAGTTGTTTTCTGAGGTGAAAGAATTAGGTTCTCAATTCTGTATGATTTTATCAAGTGCTGCGCTATACCAGTGTCAAGATTTATTTGAATTAGGTTAGTAGTATAACTAAAGCAGAGATAACCTTGTGAGTCATGGGTAGATTTGGTAATAGATCCTGGAACTCCTCTCTGTGTGCACCATTTTAATGATTAATGCACAACGAGTAAGTAAGGCAGCATGTTAACTGTCTACCTGATTCATATGAATAAATCTGGTGAAGAACATTTGTAGTTGATGCCCTAAGGCAACAACTAACTTAAGTGTGATATTAGCTTTGTGTTTTCCTTTTTAAGTCTGTCTTTAGCATCTAGTCTCTATAATTTTTGCAATATATTACGATCTTTCTATCACTTCACTCACTTAGAGTCAGGATAGGAGCACAGCAAGTTTTTAAGTTAACGTAGATAACTGTTGTTACCAAATGTAGGGGAACTGTAAGACTAATTATTATATTTTTTTCCTTAAGAGATTGCAAATTCTTTGGCTCAAAACCTTCACTTCAATACCTTTGGAGGAAATCCTCTGGCCTGTGTAGTGGGATCTGCAGTTCTTGATGTAAGGAGAGTGTTATTTTTTTGTAGCAAAAGATAGATAAGAAATGCTTGCGTTTGTTCTTACTGTAAAATTGTATGTCAGTAATGTTACAGCTATATTAAATTCATAAACATCCACAAGTATTATTTGTACATAGCTATGGTACCCTGTGTGAAGGGGAAAAAAAATTGCATTATCTCCACTGCAGAATTCCATCCCTTTTGCAGGAATATGAGATATCTATAATGTCATCTTTGAAATAAGTCAGAGCCTGCATCTGGAGCAAGGAGATGGTCAGAATTAGGAAAAATAGAATGCAATTGAAGGAAAAGGATACAGGAGAAAAAAAGTAAACAAAAGCAAGAAAACAAGAGGGAAAAACACTCATGTTAACTTCTAAAATTGTGTTTTTTGTTTTCACTCATGAATTTTCTTAAAGCAGATTTTAAGTTTGTAAAATGATTTGCACATGTTAGTGCTGATATCTGGCAGCATGTCAGAACTTTGATTATAAGTGCTCTTCTTAGAGTAAGGAGTGCATTTAAAACAATGAAAACACTCAGACTTCACTAAAATGTTGGTTAGTACGCAGAGGTATACTATGTCAAGTTTTATTGTTTCCATAATGCTGGAGAAGGAATTAAAGTATCTATGGCAAGATTTTGCAAACAATTATGGAGGCCAAGTATTTTTCAGCTATGATTATTTGTGAGCATGAATTAGTAAGAGATTATGATCGTTGAGATATAAGTAAAACATGTAAAAGAACAGAGCAACATCGAAATATTAGGTTCAGTTTTAACCTGATGCCACTAGTTAAGTGGAAAAGAGGAGAAATTTCAGTACTGTAGCAGTGAAGGAACACAGTGTGCAAATCTGTGAGAGAAAGTGAAATAAACATAACGCCACCAATCTAAATGGGGATTAACCAGATGTGAAGGAAGCTTCTCCTGTAGCTTTGTCATTGTGTGTCTTTTTTACCAGGCTATTGAAGAAGATAATCTTCAAAAAAACAGCGAGGATGTGGGAACATACATGTTACTAGAGCTTGCTAAACTACGGGATAAGTTTGAGATTGTTGGAGATGTCCGTGGCAAGGGACTCATGATTGGGATAGAAATGGTGACAGATAAGGTTGGTGATTTATTTTATACCTTTTGACTTACAGTGCCATTGCAAGTTTTATTTCAACTGAGATGAAATGTGATAATATAAAGATTTTATCTTCAATACAAATAATGGAGTGAGAAAACACTACTCTGGCTGAAACTGAGCATTCTGGCATTTCAAGTATTTCACAAGTTTTGAGTAAACAGTGACTTGTGCACTTCAATTACATGAATTCATCATAGAAAGCAGATCAATTATCATAGAATCAGTTAGATTTGAAAAGACCTCTAAGGTCAAGCCCAGCTGGTATCCCAGCACTGCCAAGTCTACCACTAAACCATATCCCTAAGCACCACATCTGCATCTTCTAAATACCTCCAGAAATGGTGGTGCAGCTTATTCCAATGCTTCATAACCCCTTGAATAATTTTTTTTTTTCCTGGTATCCAACCTGAACCTCTCCTTGTGCAACTTAAGGCCATTCCCTCTTGTCCCATCATTAGTTACCTTTTAGGAGAGGCCAACCCCCACCTTGCTACAGCCTCCTTTGATGTCATTGTGGAGAGCAATTAAAGTCTTGCCTAACCACTGTAGGCTAAATGACCTCAGTTTCCTCAGCCACTCCCCATAAAACCTGTGCTCCAGACCCCTCACCGGCTTTGCTGCTCTTCTCTGAAAACACTCCAGCTCCTCAAAGTCTTTCTTGTGTAAGGGTCCCCAAACTAACGACAGTATTCAAAGTACAGACACACCAGTGCCAAGTACAGGAGGATGATCACATCCTTGCTTGTATCAGCGTGTCATTGAGTTTCTTGACCTCTGTTTGCTTGTATTCAGCCAGCTGTCAACTGGTGTCTCCAGGTCCTTTTCTATGGGCAGCTTTCCAGCTACTCTTCCCCTAGCCTGTAGCATGGCAGTTACTTTATGCAGATGTTTTCAGTCAGAGATGGCAATGGGATTTATTGGAAGAACTGGAATAATACATTTTTTTCCTGGAATTAATTTAGAATATCCTAGTGAAGCTTACTATTCACATTCCCGTAGGACAGTCGCCACCCTCTTCCATGTGAAGAAATCAATCAAATCTGGGAGGACTGTAAAGATATGGGTGTTCTGATCGGCAGAGGAGGACTCTACAATCAGGTATTGAACTTCTGGTTAAATTAATTTTAGTTTACTAAATGAAGTAGAAAATATATATATTTAAAAGCTCTCCCTGCTTAATTTTTCTTGGTTTGCAAAACAGGCAGGAGCTGTTTGTTTCTTTTTGAAGTGGGCTGAACTTCCCTCAAGCTTGCAGTTTTCCTTTGGAAGGACAATTTAACCTAGAAAAGCAACACAGTATAAGCACAGTATAAGCAAACTAGAGGAAATCAGCAATATTCAGGTCTGCTAAGCATTTGTTACTGTTGGTGTTATGACCTGATCTGGTGACAGAGAAACAAGTTTATTCTTGCTAGTTCTTTCATTCTAGAGAGCTGATAAAATTCTATATCTGGATGTTAATACAAAAAAATAAGTGCAAAGGAAGCTCTTAGAAGCAAATTCAGCAATGCAGCACAGAAGAGAGAATTGCAGGCAAATGAGCGTCAGCCACTTGAAGACACATTATGCTGCACTCATGGCTCCATGCCAGAAGTTTCTTAGAGCATGCAGATTAGTAACAGACTTTGGGATGGTTAGGTCAGTTAAACCATTAGAGCAGCTTTTCTATGAGACAGATACAGGATGGCTAGAAGAAGCTGGACACTGCTTCTGTCATCTCATAAGCTTCCAGAAGTCACAAACCAGAAGATAGGTTGTATCCTGCAGCTCAGTCTGATTCTGCTCATGAGATTGCTATTTGCCTGGGAGCATTAGCTGAAGTCAGCCTCAGCTGAAGTGGGGGAAGAAAGACCAGTGTGTGCTTTCTGCATACAGTCTTAGAATACATTGATAGAAAAATTTAAAATGAAAGTTTAAGATTCTTACTGAAGTTAAATGACTTTGTAAACATTATACTACCAAATATTTAGACTTTTAGAACATAATTTCTTACTAAGTTTCATTGTGCATATATCCCCCTTCTTGATCAACATGCAATGCTGACCTAACTGAAAGTTCATTTGTAGTGATTCTCTTTGAAACTTACTGGAAAGCCTTTAATATAGAAGAAAAAAACCTAACAGCAGGTTAACACAATGCAGGGGACTTGCCATTCTCAGTAAGTACTGTTTCACTATGGAAAAGTTCTGGTAAGGAAAAAAATGCCCATTTTGTTTCATCTGACTCTTAGCACAAATTGATCTAAGGATGGATGTTCAGGCTCCACCTAGAGTAACAGACACAATCTACTCTAGTCAGCTCTCTTTTAAAGACAGTTGATCTGTCCCTGGAGCAGAGTGGGGCATTGGAAGCAGTCAGTGCCTCATTTCAGGGTGTGTTTGTCAGAGACCTCACTCCCAGCACTGCAGCTCTATATTATTTGTCATACTTTTGGTTATATTGTTTAGCAGAGAATGGTACTAACCTGGATGGGCTGCTAGAACATATGTTCTTTCCATACAGTTTTAAGGTTGTCTTTTCTTTTTCTTTCTCTTCAGACATTTCGAATTAAACCCCCTATGTGCATTACTAAAAAGGATGTTGACTTTGCTGTTGAAGTAATTCACACTGCATTAGAGAAACACATGGGAAAAGCAGCTGCAAACTAGTCTTGTTTCTTTACAAGACGCACATCGGACCTGACCCTTGCTGTCCAGACTCTAAGGAAAGCATAGTTTAAAGATAAAACACTTGTCAGCATCGTAAGACAACTGTTACAGAACCAGACTGAAAAAAATGGTCTCTAACCCATTTTATCAAAATACTGGTTAGTATTTCAGTTGCCCTCAGCAAGGCAACAGGCAATGCTAGAGGCTGGGAATGGTCAAGGCACAATAGTTTATTTCTGCTGCTCCTTGTTCCTTGCTCTTCTACTGCTGCTTTTCTCTCACTGGTTTTCTATGCTCCAGCAGAAGTTCTCTAGCAGGCTGCAGTCCCTTTGGGTGAGGTTACAGGAGATTATTTGTTCCTTTGTTCCAGCTTTGTTCCTGTGTCTCCTTTGCTGCCTTTTCTTACCTACATTTTCAACAGAGGCAATACGAACTCTTGTTTGATTGAACATTGGCATGTGGTAGGACTGCTGCAAAGCCAGCTGTGAACAACACAGGGTAGTCCCTGACCACCTCTTCCCCAGTGGTCATCTCTGCAGCTACAGAACTTTGCCATTTTCACCCAATAAACATAAGCATACATAAAAATCAACACTTCATCATTGTTTTATTTTATTTAAATAACAAAAATAATCAACTCAAAATATAATATTGCAGTTTAAGTCTTAACCATGACATGAGATTTCACACAAAGTCACTCTTGGCTAGGAAGCATTCTGAGCAGAATGTAACTGCATGTCTCAAACAGAGCTAAAACTGTTTACCTTTATCACAATGATACAGTGTAATTACAACATTAAAAAATTTGTGCACACAAATTGAAAGTTTCTAATTATGGTAATTATTTTTAATGTCAAATCCAGTCATCATCCTCTCCAAAAAAAATTCTTTGCTTTTCTTCCTGCTGCTTTCTGAATTTTAGTTATTTAGCAAAGATGCAAACTCTGACTGGTGAAATAAGGTACAGCTTTTTTAATGTAATGACTTTTGGAACAAAATTTTTGTTACCTTCTCCACTTTTCAATAAAAGTAACATTGTTGTCTGTCAGCAAGAACTATACATTTGTCATTTTACTTTGAGGAAAGTTTTAATGTTTGAATAATTTCTTGATCTAATAACAGTTCTGTGTTCTGCCCTTTTTTTTGATAAACTGAAATGCTAGAGCAACTCAGGTGAGGTAAGAGCATTACATTTAGAAAATGCAATAAGGGAAATACAGAAAAATCTAGGGGTATATATCCATACCATATCCCCAAGTCCTCCATGAACACTGGATTCTGACTTCACTGACTGCTTGTTTTGCAGAACTCTTTTGTTCACTTGCACTCCAAAATCAAGTGTTTGTCTTTTCTTTTTTTTCAAGTGCTATTCAGAATGAATTAATTATGCATTAAACAGAGACATAATACTAGTTCCCATTTTGTTTTTCATTAGGAAATCAAAACACATGTGGAGAGCAATCCATACCACCTGCCACTCTCTCCTCAATTGGCAGCATCTGGTGCGCATGTACCATGGGAAAGAACCCCTGTGTGCAAGTCAACTCATATAGATTAACACTGACACGTCAGCCATCATCCATTCCTTCCCATGCTTACTCCAGCAAGGCTCATCCACATGATTTCCCTCCCCAGTACAAACACCTTAGCTCACATGGGCATGTACAAAACTAACAGGGACTGTCCAAACTGTAATTAATCAACTCTGACATCTTTCCCCTTTTGTCTGCTGGTTAATTTGAAGGGGCCACTGAGGGTGGTTACTGTTCCACTTGTGCTGCTCATATTTCATTTTTGATGGAAGATCAAAACAGCAGAGTCCGATCTTAACCTCAAATCAGTTTTCTGTCTCTGTAAAGAAAACAACTGTGATGTGGTAAAATAATTTATTCCCTCTGCATAATTACTCCATCCATGCAAGTTTCAGCAGGAATGCTAAGCAACTCTGAATCAGTACTGCCCCTTCACCAAGAAAGCTATCAGAAGGGTAGGTCAAGTTCAGTCAGTAAAGAAAAAAAGGTAAAAATAAACAAAAGCAAAAATTGCTTCATGAGATAACATTCCTCTTGTTACATCTTCCACATCTTCCTTTTTTGCTTTTTTCCTTTTTGTTTCCTCCACCAAAACCTGGAGCTGCCTTCCCAGTTTACCTCAGAATAAACAATGCACACTTTTCAATGTTTTAGAGAATTTTCCTGTATGATTCTAAAGACTGTCAGTGTAACAAAGTTCTATCTGTTTTTACGTTTCTCTTTTTTGCTTCTGGTGTGAACAGCTCCATTTACAGACAATGCCTGCGTTGCTTTTGCATGTCCTGTAGCTTTTAGATGTTCAAACAGTTTATTTCGGGATGGAAATGTACAGTTGCAGGTTACACAGTGAATGGGAACTTCATTCTAAAAGATGAAAAAAAAACAAACTGTTCACATTTGTACAAGATGTGTAATAAATACATTGTGTAATAAATAGAATACACCAACTGGCTCTATCTAGCTACTCTTAAAAGAATGAAATGTGACTAAGTTGCTTGTCTCTATAATGAATATCCTATTATTGATTGGCAATTAAAATAGAATATTAAAAGCATAACTTCGTGAAATTTTAAGAAGAGCCAAGTTAAGCCAAGAATACAACAGAAACTTACCAAGTGTAATTAATGATAAAGACTACTTTTGATCTCACCTCAAAAAACAAGACTGTAAATGTAACATTTTGAGTTCTGAGGTACGCCGAATTCATGTCTTAGCTGTAGCTATTACAAGAATTTGTTCTTCTGGGAAGTACCAATATTTGGAAAGATGCAGACAGTACTGTCTCCCACCTGCCTGGTGAGAGCAGCCATCTTCAGATGTTTACATTTTTTGGTTTAAATTGCTTTGATAACTGAGTTCTAACCACTCTCCTAGACCTGAAATTTAGTCCTGCACTTCTCTGCACAGACAAGAGCTGATGTTCCAGTGTCCTATATGCTAATAAAATCACTGGAAGAGAACTTATGTACTATTAAGAAGTGGTAAACCAGGACAGAATTTGGGAACTGGAGGTAAAACAAACTATTTTTTGTTTGTAATGACATGACCCTGTTTTTTTTAAACAGTGTAAGTAATTTGACATACCATTGTTTGGTGTTCTGAAGATCCCTTAGCAGACTTTTTTGCATCCTTGGCTTTTTTACCTTTAGGCTTAGTGCTGCTGATAGACAAAGAGAAACCAAGATCAGTGCACAAGAATATTCCAATTAAAGAATCTGACTGTATTCAAGTCAATGTCTCTGTTCTTTCTTCACACAACCTAATTGGTTCCAGCCAAAATAAAGCCATGTCACTTATGTAAAATCTCAAGATTTTGCTAAAAGATGAATCAGCTACTTGTGAATGATGCAGTGCTGATATGCAGTCTTTCCAAACACTCCTAACACTCTCTGTTCAGTATAGTATTTGTGCAACTCTGATTTAGTGGAGTAGCCCTAAATTCACAATAGTGAGAAAGGTCTGCTTGTTACAGTATCAAACATGACATAGAATGACATGGGCACACCTTTTCACTTCACTTTGTGCTTCATTCACTTGGCTACTATGTTCTGTAGCACTTGCTTCCTCTGACACAGCACATCTTTGGTCATCATTTACAGACTGCTCTGTTGGGTCACCGTCCTTGTCCAGACAGGGCAACTCCTTTTTCTCAATTATTTCCTCATCAGCACTTTTATCAAAAGAATCCTCGTAAGTCTGTCAAAATAGAAGAAATAAAAGTTACTTGATGCTCACTAGTGATTATGCTTATAATCATTTACCTTAAAACATGAGCGTGTGGGGAGAACACAAAAAACCCATTAAGCTTCTGAATTTTACACTGTATTTTCAGTGGGATTCCAACAAGCAAAATCTTAGCTCCTCTCTTCTGAAAGATGAGACCAGCTGTGGTGGTGGTTTTTAATTCCACAAAGGGCTCGAACACAAGGCTCCATGTCACATCATATCATAATGGCTTTGTTTTTAACTTTGACAAACGTTTTGACTGGTTTCTGTACCAGACACTTAAGCCTAAATAACTGAACTGACTGAAGCAAAACACACTGTGTTTTCTCTCCCTATCTTCTGAAACATTGGCAACCTTTTCCATGTACCAGAATCAGAGTCAACAACTGTTTAGTAAAAGGTCAACATCTGAGCATGTCTGAGGCAAAGCTCAATTTCCAAAAGTAGAATAAACATAACACTGTGTTAATATAACTATATCACCTACAGTAACTTTTGCAGACTTAGATAGCTTAGCCATGTTTTCTCAGGTAGTTTTATCTCCAGGAAAAAAACCCAAAGATCCTAATGACTCTCAACTCTCGTTGAAGACTGATAGCAGACAGAAGTTATGCTTCTAGGATCTCTGCATAACAGAATTCCAGGTCAGTTATGCGAGCGTGCAACCCACATTCTAGGCCGCAGAAAACGTAACCTTACATAACTGAAGGATGGGAGACAAGGTGCTTACACAGAACATTTACAAGGTAGATGAAAAAGAATTTCAGGGAAATTGAAAAGGAAGTGAAGAAGCCAGAGTTGGACAAGATATTGATGGCCTGCATGGAAACAAGAAGGCCAAGCTGATACTAACTTGGACAATGCAAAACCAAACAAAGGGAAGCAAGAAAAATTCAGCTGATTGAAAGCCTTGGAGAAGTTTCTTGATAAGGGATGATGGTGTAGGAGAGGGCAGAGAAGGGGAACACATAACACTAGAAGAGTTAGGCTGGGGAAGAACCAGGAGGCCACCTTGGGAAACATGCAAGATGCAGGATCCAGTGTACGCAGCTGAGTGGGACATGACTATGATTGAGATACTGAATAGGAAAGAAGTACAAATAGGAAAGGATCATGCATGAGAAAGAGAGAAGAATCTGCTCTCTGTGGAGTTCCTGACACTCAAGGCTGACATAGACATGCGATTCTTGAATCCCAGCCTGCTCCTGTCAGCTCAGATTTGTTCTGTCATGCACAGATGGAATCCTGGAACATGCCAGATTGGCATTACTGGTGCCTGGAATGCAAATGAGAGGTGGAGTGGATGGTGTTTGTTAGTTTCAGTAGGATGCTAGTAAAGTTACTTTACAAACAGTACATTTTTCCAGGTCTATCAATCAAAGCAGAAGACTATCACCAAACAATTAAGTCACTAATACACCAGAGCTGCTGCTGGTCTTGCTGATCAATTCCTTGCATTCTCTCTCTGTCCGTTCCAATCTGCTTTCTTTACATTTCAACCCATAAGCTTTTTGGAGCCTGCACCACATTTATTCTGTTTGTACAGATGCTTCTCAAGTCAGGTCTGTGAGATGTATTATGATAATATATAAAACAAAATCATGTTGTAAAGTTCTTTGAAATTCATTGTGTCTGATTGCCTACCATCATAGTTTTCTGTTTCTTCTTCTGCTTCTTGGAGAGTCTGGAAAGGTAAGAATGTAAAATAGACTTTTTTAAAAAAGAAAACATTAATACAATTTCCAGAAAGGTATCAAATTATATTTTTCTTAACACTGTAACATGAGAGAGATAGCAGCCACAACTAGAAAATGATTCTCATCTGAAATGAAAGCAACACTTCTCATAATCTACTTATTGCATGAACAAAACAATTAATTCTGCTCAGACTAAACTCAAAGATACTAAAAAGGCAGCTGATATTATGCTTGGTCCATTCAAAGAATGGAAGTTGTACAACACAACTTATTCAGTTCCACTCATTTTCAAGCAAACTCATTTTCTATCTATGCCAGCATCCAACTGACAAAGAGTAGCATAACCAAACTGGTAAACACTGGAACTGCACCAAGCTTCCCTCCATTTGAATCCAGACAAATTAATGTATGCATTTTATTGGAACTCTAATACGAAGAACTATTTTAAATTAGCACAAGACTGTGAATTCCAATACAGCAACTTATCCAGTCAGAAGCTCCTTCTGAGCTCAGAGATATAATAAGTCATTACTCATAATAAAATTTAAAATAAGAAATAATTTTAAGTACTTCTGTTTGGGCACCTCTCCCATTTCTTCCTCCTCTTTGGTATGTATTCCATTCACATCATCTGAAGATGCAGGAAATTTCTCTTCCTCTTCTTCCAGTTGCTGTCGTAACAGTGCTACCATCTCCCGATGCTTCTTTGATTTTTCATGATTCTTCATGCTATGAAGATTATCAAATTGTTACTGCAGGTAGATCTGAGTAAATATGGTTATAGTCACATAAATTAACAATAGGATCATTACCTATCACTAATAAGAATGGAAAATTTTTCCCTGATAATGTCTCAGCTGGAAAGAAGACAAAGTTCTTACCATGCTTTTTAAAAAACTGCTTTAGAAAAGCAACACCTTCCCCTACCACTGCTGAAAAGTTCCCAGCTGTATACACACACACTTACGCTTTCTCAGTTTTTAACAATTTGTCACAAGCAGGGCAGTAGAGATCATCAGCATATTCAGCTTCTTCAGCCACATCATTCAATTTGTCTGAAGAAATCAATGGGGATCAAAGAGACAAAGTCAGAAGAGCAATCTTCAAGTAAGTTGCTATTAAAAGCCCCAGAAAACAGTCACAACATAGACATTCATCTCCTTCAGTATTTTTCATATGCAGAGAGATCAAGACAATTAACAGCTATGGCTTTATATCTTCTCATGTTCAATGGAAAACATCAGACACCCAAACTCTAACCTGGCACACCAGCATTGGAGACACAGGACTTGCACCACCTGCACTTGAGGTTCCAAGTGCAGTGAGCCAATACTCACACTGCAACAATTCACTACAGGTCACATCCCCATGCTGCATACCTTCAATACCTTCTTTTGTCTCCTGTCCTTCCAATTCAACTTCAGCATCTGATCCATCTCCAAATTCCTTTTCATATTGTGCCTCCATCTCTTTCAATTCTTTCTCCAGATCTGACATAGTTATCCAGCTCTGCTCTTTATACTGTTCAGCAAGTCTTTAAGCAGAAAAATACAGTAATTTCTATGTGGCATTTATGAGATTGGAATTACAGAAACAGTATTATTTAAAAGATAGCTTGGTCTTCTCTAGTATTTCAGATGGAAATTTCTGAATTTATTATGAAGGAGCAAAGAACTGTTTGTAGGGCATGGAAATCTGAACAGGTAATTTACAATGCCAGTGGTCACACTGACACTGCCAGTAAGGAGATATTAACGTAAGTGGATCCTGCTTGAATTTCATGCAGGAAATGTACGACCACATGGCAAATGTCAAGCTCACAACAGAGAAAGTCAGCTCAACCCTAAAGGTACTTTAGCTGCTTTTACCTGCTTTAGGATCCAAACCAATGAACAGTACAGCAACGCAAAAACCACTAGCAAATTACTGCTTGACTCTGTGTTACAAAAGTGTAGCCACTCAGTTTTGCTGATAAGTGTCATCCAAGCTACCAGTCAGTGCACCACACTATAGCTGAATTTTCTACAGCCAGGTCCCGAGTTCAGAAAACAGAATTATTAATCAGTTTGTCAGTGAACACATGCCTCAGCTTCATTCTTCTCTCAGAAAAAAAAAAAACAAACAAACCCCAAACATTATGTCTAATATATGTATTTCACATGTATGTGAATTATTATATTATGATTTTGATGAATTTAATTATTTTAATTAAATTTATTTTTAATTATTTATTTACTATTTTAATTATGATTTTAATGCTACAAGACTGCAATTTCAAAATAATTAAGTATTTAAGCTCCTTTCTCTTATTTTCAGATGAAAATTACTTCTAGTTTGAAGAACTTCTGCTCAGACTGGCAGGCTCCCATTCATCTACTTTATATTTCATGAAAAATAAAAGCACTAAAAAGTGCATTAATTCCACTAAAAGGGTCCTCTCTACCAAATTAAGAGGAAAAGCAAGGCTACAATTGTTTTTCATACATTCTTTTTAGCAGATAAATGACCAAGGCAAATGCAGCTAATAAAAGTCCAGGTTGTCATAATCCTGTTTTGCTTCAATCCCCAACATACATTATTTTTCCTTAAATCTTCCCTCCCACACTGGATTCTGTGCTATTACAGCCAGTTGCCTGTAACGCACAGGTTATTCCCTGATTTTCTGGGATCTTTCTTTTTCAGAAAGATCTCTCTTTTCTGTTCTATTTCAGAACAAATAAAAAGGTTTGACTTGACTAATATAGAAAATGGTCAAGGATTTTTAAAAGAGTGTGTACAGCTACCACTATAATCATATCATTACAATCTAACAGCATGGTAGACATTGATAGTTTCTCCGGGTTTAAGATAAGCATTTCTTTCCATATTTACATACTTGGCTTGTTTGAGTTTTTGCTGCCTCCGAATTTCCTCTGCTTTCCTAAGTTTTTCTGCATTCTGTTCTTCTACAAGTTTTCTGTGAGCTTGTACTCTTCTGTCTCTTTTACGAATAAATGCTACTAGCTGACGGATAAGTTCATTCCTCTCTTTTTTTGCTTTATCTCTGGTTTTCTTGTTCTCTTTTTCCATAGCTCGTTTCTCCCAGCGGTTCGATGCTTGACGTGTGTCATATTCTTCTTTCCAAGCAAAGTTTTTCTGAGTACAGAAACTCTGCCAATAGGCATAGAAAGGGTGAACTATCTGTTAAAATAAAAAAATTAAAAATTCAGTGAGTCACTTTATCAGGGAGAATGGGAAAAAAAAAAACTTTCCAAATAACTTAGGACTTCTGTGTCTTCCCTGTAGGCAAAGATTTTTACCCAGAGTATAAGTAAATCACCACAAAGTTTACAGAAGTCTCTAACACCATCTTTAAAATTTCTTCTTAAAATACCTTCTCAAATCAACAGCCTTATATTTAAACTATTCCAAATGCCTATTTCTAAAAACATACCCCATTTAAGATTAGATCGTGCTAACAGCAGTGCCAGACACTTAACTTTGCTGTACTTTTCTTTTCAAAGCACAACGGGAATGAGACATTGTGTAAATAAGCACATACTGCGTAACAGCCACCACATCAAATTACATCAAAGGTCATTCATACATTTCCAGCTGCAGATGACAATCAGTACACCAAAACCAAACAAAAAAAAAGCAAATACATGACAGTATTTCTTCCCATCACATTCTATCCGCTTCCAGAGAAAGTGAGAACATTTAATAACTCCAGTCAATTTCTCCTTCATTAATGCTTTTCTCTTTTTTTAATGTATACAAAATGTTACCACATACAATATCATGAAGCTGTGACTTTCAGTTTAATGAGCATTTGTGTGAAGATGCACTTACTCCTGTTTTGTAGTATTATATAACTGTAGGTAAAAACGATGCCCTCTAGCTTTCACTTTAGAAGAAGTAGTAAATTATCTTTCACTATTCTATTTACTACTCATAAGTAAACACTAGATTAGTAAAGTGACATAATGACTTTCTTTTCACAGAATCGCAGGGGTTGGAAGGGACTACTGCAGATCATCTAGACCAACCCCCTGCTAAAGCAGGTTCCCTAGAGTTGCACCGGAAAGCATCCACGTGGGTCTTTAGTATCTTTAGGGAACCTCTCTGCACAGCCTGTTCCAGTGCTCTGTCATTCTCAAACTCCATAATTTTTTTTCTCATTTTCAGATGGAACTTCCTGTGTTGCAGTTCTTGTCTGCTGCCTGCAGTTCTGTCACTAGACACCTTCAAAAAGAGCCTGTCTTCATCCACTTGACATCCATCCCATCCACTTCCTCCACCCTTCAGATATTTCTAAGTGTTGATAAGGTCCCTTCTCAGCTTTCTTTTCTCCAGGCTGAACAGCCCCAGGTCCCTCAGCCTTTCCTCAGAAGGGAAATGTTCCAGGCTCTTAATCATCTTTGTGGTTCTCGGGTGGCCTCTCTCCAGAGGTTCCCTGTCTTTCTAGAACAGGGGAACCCACAAGTGGACACAGTTCCCCAGATGCGGCCTCACCAGGGCAGAGCAGAGTGTAGGATCAGGTAATTCCTTGACCTGCAGTCCATGCTCTTTCCAATGCATCTGAGGATGCCATTAGCCTTCTGGGCCACAAGGGCACGCTGCTGGCTCATGGCCAACCTGTTGTCTGACAGAACACCCAGGTCTTTCTCGACCAAGCTCTTTTCCAGCCCCTAACCTGTACTAGCACACACAGTTATTCCTCCCCAGGTGCAAGGCTCTACACTTACTCTTGTTGAACCTTATCAGATCCCCTCCATCCAACTCTGTATTCTGTCCAGGTTCTGCTGAATGGCAGCACAGGCTTCTGGTGTGCCAGCCACTCTAGTTCGTATCATTTTCTTTTGTATTATTTTGTTTTGTTCCTCTCTAAATAACTCATAATCTTATGCATTTTGCATATTTGGGAAACAAAATATGTAATTTTTTTCTTTTTTTAATTACTCATCTCTTTAAACTTTCTTTTTACTACACCCTGCACACACTCTTTTACATCCATGCACTGCTGTTTTTGTATTTCTGAATACTTCACAGAAAAAGTTCTGGACTTCAATATAACAGCTTAACAGGTTTCCTATTAATATTTCTTCTTCTCCTTATGTCAGTGGTACAACTATTAACTCCTCAACACTAATTTCTAATGACCTGTCAATGTGTGAAGGTTCAAGGCTGTGGCCTCTGGCAGATAAGTAGCTATGCAGTTCTCTGCTGTCACTAAAATCCAGCTCTATATGTCCAACAATGTAAGCAATGATACACTATTCAGATTTATGCTTCAAAATGAGAGAACTTGATAGAACTTAAATAGGATGCATAGCCATCAATAGCCATAGCTATTGATGACAGGAATCAACCATCCCCTCATCAGCTTTACGAGCTATGAGATTTTTCTCCTCAATGGCCACCTGAATATAAGCTCCTGTCCTGCCAGTCTCCTGGACACTCATGTTGGACACTCAGGTTGTTGCTTACTATGCATACTCACAGCTGAGTGCTTTTGTTTCTACACATAATTGTTCTACAACTATTCTTGTGAAATCCTGTTAAGTCATGCACTTAAGAATATATTCCCTGTCTGCCTGGCACAGATGGAGTCACTTCCCAAACCTCTTGCAAGTTAACTCAGAAGGCTGGATCAGAGAACATTCACGTCACAGACTCCAAAGTCTTGATCTAGCTTCTGTAGTTCCCTTCTAAATCTCTTTTCCCTTCTCCCACAGTACTTCTACTAAACAGGGAAGTGGGTGTACTAAAATGCTGCTATCTTCCAACTGTATCTTTGAATATAAGATAAGAGAGATAATGGCTTTCCTGGTTAAATGAAGCTATTTTCCATGATTTAATTTGAAGAATCACTTAATCCCATTAATAATAATAATAAAAAAGAAAGAATATTCTGCTTCCGTAACTGTGTGAACAAGACAGATGTCTAATGATAATGGTGCCAGAATTACAGCTGATTTTGCAGCTACTAATTGTCAACGTTAAAAGTAGTTTCTGGTTCATAGCCGTATCTATTCTACAGTCCTGACATGGGAAGCTCCCAGAGGATGTTCCAAGCTCAAGCTACAAATAGATAGATCTTAGCAATTTTAGATATATTAAATATATGCTTCCTGGGAAAGATACTGATTTGTTAAGCCATTGTGTAATTTTACCTGAAATTAAAATACCCATTTGGGCATCTTTAGTGCCAAAGTAAATAATTGTTTCTAACTCCAACCAAGGTTCATACCATCAAAATTTGTCATTTGTGAGGTATATATCAATTTAAATTTCATAAATAATCAGTTACGCAGTATATTACAACTAAAAATGAAGGGCAAAGCAGGAAACTAGGAGGAATACTTGTGAGTATTGCTACTGTGTAGTTAATCACCAGGAAAATAGCTATTATAAAAAATAATTGGTAAACCTGATGGGCAGAATTCATGAGTTCTCTAAGCATTTGTCTTTTCTCATATCCCAAAAGCAGACATGCAATATCCTGAAAACTAAATCTTACTACAACTGTAGATGACAGGAGTGCCATGGCAGGAGCTCACACGGCAGATCAACTACAATGTCTCTCTTTTTCAACAGGCATTTATGTAGTAAGTGAGTCTTTGTTTCCCTAAATGAAGCATAATACTATATGTGTTATTTAAAAAAATCATTTCTAATATTGTTTGCTGTAACCTATGCTACATTAAAACACTGGTAAACTATGGTTTTACATCTCGTTGAGAATGTTTGGTGCTCTGTTTTTTTTTCAGGCCTTGCATCAGGCACACTGCACTTACGTTTCACTGGCATAATTGATGGTTAGCCCTTCAAAATTTTGCTTGACATCTTGCCAGTAAAAATCTGGCTGTTAATATAGTCCAACAGGAAACAATTATTCTGATTCATCTAAATGTTATGAATCACAATATAAGCACCACCTGTACAGTAATGAACTACTACAGTAGAAAAGACAGTCAAAACGTGGTTCTGTATTTGCCTCAGAGATCACCCAAGAACTTTTTCTTTGCTTTCAGTGTGAGACAAAGTAATAAGAGCCATGTTACTTTTAGTTCAACGTTATACTTGCTCTTACCGTGTCATAATCACTGTGGGAATACCCAAATGTAGGGAATTCTTCAGTATCTTCATGAGTCATATATTCCATCTCTTCTTTTGCAATTTGCTCAAAAACATGTCGGTAGACTGTAAAGAATCCCTGAAATTTTAAAAGACGTAAATTATTATTTCTTCAATAATAAATGTACAAATGCTCAGTTACATTAAGTAGTGTTTTTTTACAGAACATTCAGAAAAAAACTGCAATTCTGCAGAGCAATTCAAAATGCGAGAAAGGTCTTGTAAGCACTCGCTATTCTTTCTCACACCTTAAACAACCCATATCCAAATCTAAGCAAAAAAATAAATACACTTACAGCATGCAGACAATGTTGATTAGAGTCTGGTTACACATTATGACACTTTGAGAAAGTTCCAAATACAAAATATACTATGACTAACCCTAACCCCAACTATATCTTTACTTTTTAAATGAAGATGATGCTGACTTACTCATACCATAGTAATACAAAGACAGATGGGGATTTTCTCTGGCAGAAGTCCTCCTAATCACCTGGAGCTTTTTAAATCATGAGTATCTTAAAATACAACACGGAATTAAATTTTTGGAAGCACACTTTCCTCAAGCACTGCTATCACTTTTCCTCAGCTTAAAGGACTCCAGCTTTAAGAGCACTCTGCTCTTGTGAGGCCCCATCTGGAATACTGCGTCCAAGTGTGGAGCCCCCAGTACAAGAAAGACAGGGAGCTGTTGGAAAAGGTCCAGAGGAGAGCCACAAAAATGATCAGGGGACTGGAGCACCTCTCCTATGAAGACAGGCTGAAGGAGCTGGGCTCATTCAGCCTGGAGAAAAGAATGCTGTGGGGTGACCTCACTGCAGCGTTTCAATACCTAAAGGGAGCCTACAAACAGGAGGGGAATCAACTCTTTGAAAGGGTAGATAATGGCAGGATGAGAGGAAATGGTTTTAAGTTGAGGGAGAAGAGATTTAGGTTGGATGTCAGGGGGAAATTCTTTACAGAGAGAGTGGGAGGTACTGGAACAGCTGCCCAGAGAGGTTGTGGACGCCCCATCCCTGAAAGTGTTCAAGGCCAGATTGGATGGGGCCCTGGGCAGCCTGGTCTAGCATTAAATGAAGAGGTGATGGCCCTGCCTGTGGCAGGGAAGTTGGAGTTTCATGATCCTTGAGGTCCCTTCCAACCCTGGCCATTTTGTGATTCTGTGAAAGACATTTCCAAATATTTGCTATTGCAAAGCACTGGAATGCTTCACTATTTAATGCACATAAACAATACAGATGTATTTTGAAGTTGCACTATTCAGTAAGGAATTACAAGTAAGTAATTATCAGACAAAAAACAGTAATTAAAGCTTGTCCAAGCATCAAGCACAGGATTTGTATTTGTGCAAAAAATTGTTATTACCATCTGTGCTCAACAATACCATGCACAGCTTTCCAACCCTAAGCAAATGCTGACATTTGTCACAGTTTTATCTGGGATGGAATTGTATTCTTCAGAGTGTCTGGTATGATGCTGTTTGGTTCTAGGAGAACAATGCTGATAACACACAATGTTTATAGTTACTGCTATACAAGAGCTGCTCGGCTCTTGTGAGGCCCCATCTGGAATACTGCGTCCAAGTGTGGAGCCCCCAGTACAAAAAAGACAGGGAGCTGTTGGAAAGGGTCCAGAGAAGGGCCACAACTATGATCAAGGGACTGGAGCACCTCCCCTATGAGGACAGGCTGAGGGAGCTGGGCTTGTTCAGTCTGGAGAAAAGAAGGCTGTGGGGTGACCTCACTGCAGCATTTCAATACCTAAAGGGAGCCTACAAACAGGAGGGGAATCAAGTCTTTGAAAGGGTAGATAATGGCAGGACGAGCAGAAATGGTTTTAAGTTGAGGGAAGGGAGATTTAGGTTGGACGTCAGGGGGAAATTCTTTACAGAGAGAGTGGTGAGGTACTGGAACAGGCTGCCCAGAGAGGTTGTGGACACCCTGTCCCTGGAAGTGTTCAAGGCCAGGTTGGATGGGGCAGCCTGGTCTAGCATTAAATGAGAAGGTTGGTGGCCCTGCATGTGGCAGGGAGGTTGGAGACTGATGATCCTTGAGGTCCCTTCCAACCCTGGTCATTCTGTAAGCAGTGTTGTACAAAGCCACAGCAGGAAAAGGGCCCAAGGAGCTAGGAAGGAACAGAATTAGGACAGCTGATTTAAACTGGCCAAAGTGATATTCCATACCATATGGCATCATGTGGAAGGTGTTTTGAAGGGGGTGGGAGTTCATCTCACGCAATTCCATTGCTCGGGGAGCTAGCTGGGAATTGGCTGGGGGGTGGTAAGCTACTGCTTGTGCATCACCTGTTATATACATTTATCTATCTACCCAGTCACAACTATCTTCCTTTTCCTTTTTTATCTTAGTAAATAGTTTTTATCTCATCCCACAAGTTCTCCATTACTTTTTTATTATTTTCTCTCCCATCCCACTGGGAAGAGGGGCGTGAGCGAACAACTGTGTGCTGCCCAGCCACCTGCCAGGTTAAACCACAACATCCTTCAATAAATTTATATTGATTAATTAAAAGGATGAATTAGTTCACTACCTTTTCATCATCTCCATATCCAGAGTAACAGCTAACGGTGAAATAGCGCAGCAGATCCAAACTATCATCTTGATAGTCTCCGTTCACTCCCCGCAATAGAGCTTCCCTGTGGTTATCATACCTGGCAAAAATCAATAATGTAAAGAAAATGAATACTTTCCAATAACAATAAGACACAAGTAACATGTAAAAGCACGTGTGTTGCTTCACTCCACATTTGCTGTGCTGGGAAGGAGGGTTATCAGCAGTTTTGGAGCAACAGGCAGGGTTGGGCTGTATGTAAGGGAGAAACTACCCTCTGCACAGTCATTGCTGTTAGGGATGGAACGATAAAGAGTCTCTGGGTGAGGATCAAGGGGACAGACAGCAGAGGAGATGTAGTTGTGGGTGCCTACTATTGTGTCCATGACATCCAGGATGATGGCATGGATGTGTTGTTCTATAGGCAATTAGAAATGTCTGGATCAGTAAACCTCATCCTTTTGGGAAACTTCAATTTCCCAGGAATAAATTGGGAATATCACGCTGTCATCACAAATAAGGTGGCAGCTGAGGAAGTGTAAGGCAGGACATTAGAAAAAGTTTCTCTCCTGTGAGGGTGGTCAAGCTCTCAAACAGACTTCCTGGTGAGACAGTTGATGCCCCATGCCTGTCAGAGTTCAGGAGGTACTTGGGTAATGCCCTCAATAACATGCTTTAACTTTTGGTTAGCCTGATGATCAGGTACTTGGACCTGGTGATCTGTGAAGGTCTCTTCCAACTGAACTATTCTATACAAAGTATAGCTGTTCAGGGTTTCAGCTGGGATACAGCTGATGTTCTTCACAGTATCTGCTATGATGCTGTGTTTTGGCATTGGGAGAAAAACAATGTCAGTAACACTGCAATGATTTAGCTGTTGCTGAGCAGTGCTGTACAGAACCAAGGATATTTCAGATCCTCACACTGCCCTGCCAGTGAGGTGTTAGGGGTACACAAAGAACTTAGGAAGGACAGAACCAGGACAGCGACCCAAACTGCCAAAGGAACATCCCATACCACATCGTGTTCATGCTGAACAACCAAACAGGATGGAGGTTTGGTCCAGGGTTGTCTTACCTGCGGACTGACTGGGCATTAGTCAGCTAGTGGTTAGCAATTGTGTTGAGCAACACTGGTTCTGTATATTCTTCTATCACTATCATCTTTTTATTCCTTCCTTTTCTAAGTTATTAAGCTGTCTTAATACCTCAACCCACAGGTTTTATCTTGTTTTCCCAATTCTCACCCCTGTCCCACTAGGGGGAGTGAGTGAAGGGCTGCATGGTGCTGCTGCTGGGCACCTCACTTTCTGGAATTTGTGTCTCATACACAAGTCTTCAGACCAAAAAAGGGCTGAGTGAGTAAACACTACCTGCAGACCTTCACTTTACTTTCTATAATATCTACAGTAGCAACTTCCCAACAAACACATTTGAGCAAGCTGCTACAATGAGCTTTCAAAAGCAGGTAGGACATGATCCGAATAATCCAATACTTACGGAAATGGAAAAAAAAAAAAAAAAAAGAAAGAAAGAAAGAAAAAAACAAGCACGAGCTATTATATTAGAAGTGAAAAACTACTTTTCTTTATAGAAAGACGAACTTAGCGGAGGTGCTCTTGGCTTCATAAGCTGGATGCTTCAGCCCACTTGAAAAACATGCTATGCAGAATATTTGAACTCACAATCTCTCACAAAGAGACGTTTGTGCATATTTCAAACTAGGACCATTACAGGAACACAGGCAAAGAGGCTGTGGTGATACCAGATGAGCAGGTGGATACCAACGCCTACCTGTGAGGCAAAGAGATGCCAGCACCAGCAGCTCCTCAGCGCTCACCCCATCACACTGCAGAAAGCAGTGAGACACCCCATCCCGGCGACACTTAAGGTCGGGCTGGGCCAGGCTCTGGGCACACAGATTTAGCTGTAGGTGATCTCGTTCGATGCAGGGGAGCCAGACTAGGTGACCTTCGGGGGTGTGTTCCAACTCAAATGATTCCATGAAAGAAACCATCCTTAGCGCAGGGCAAAGCACGGCTAGGGCCAACCCACAGCCCAGACCTCCAACCAAGCCAGGGAGTGGAGAACTCTAAGTCCTTGCTGCGAGAGCAAGGGAAGGGAAAAAAAGCCAAGCGACATTAACAGAAAACAAACGAAATGCAAGAAGCAACACAGGCACACAAAAGTATCTTCAAGCCCATTACCGGCTGGATTTACTCACCAGGCTCTCTCCTGAGGGTCACTGAGCACATCGTACGCCGCCTGGATTAACTTGAACTGTTCTGCGGCTTCCTCGGCGTTCTCGAGGTTTTTATCTGCGAATTAAATGAATTAATCGTCAACAACTCAGCAGACCCCTCACGCAAACAGGAAAGGCGCCGCTGCCACACGGCACGGGGACCGCAGCCCCGGCTCACCGCTCCCAGACCGGAGGCACCCGCGAGCCTTTACGAGCCCCGATCCCCCCAGGGGTTTCTCCGTTCCCCACGCGGCCCGGTCGCCCTCTCCCCGGCCCGGCCTCCCCTCCCCTTCAGGCCCGCAGCAGGCCGGGCCCGCGGAGCGGCGTACCCGGGTGCCAGCGCAGCGCCAGCCGCCGGTAGGCCCGCTTCAGCTCCTCCTCGGCCGCGTCGCGCCGCACGCCCAGCACCTCGTAGTGGCACCTCATGGCGGCGGGGCCGCGCGCGAGTAGAGCCGGCCGGCAGCGAGAGCGGGGCAGCGGGCGGGAACGGGAGGAGCCGGCTGCGACGCCGTACGGAGCGCGGGCCGGGAGGAGCCGCGGCGGCGGGGGCGGGGCTGGGCGGGCGGGGCCGAGAGCGGGGCAGCGAATGGCGTTCGAGTCGCGCCGCCTCGGTGTTGCGGGTACGGGTCGGTTGGAGAGGCCGAGGGAGTGTCATCAAGGCGGCGAGGCTCTGCGGGGCAACGTGCGCGAGGGGTGGCCGAGGGCCCTGGGTGCGCCGGGCCCAGAGCAGAGGAGCTGAGGGGAGCTGAGGGCGGCTGCAGCTCCTCATGGGACTGTGAGCGCTGCTGCGCGGAGCTCGGGTTTGGGCTCAGCTCTTTCCTGCTCGGGATATCGTGTGATCCCGTGAGCCCTGCGCTGTGCGGCCCAGCCACGCTTTCTGACTCCTCACAGACTCACTCCTCCTGCACGCTTAGCTCCCACTCTTTTCTACATCCACTCCTGTCAAGCTGTCCCTGTGGACTGTTTTTCAGGGAAGGAAGCAGATGATGACGTATTTGTGCTCTTCAAAGACTCTGGGTTTGGCCCAAGACTCTTTTTTCCTTGGATTAGCTATGCTGTGTCAACTGAGCTGGTGCCTGTGTAACTAGTCTCCCATTCCTAAGTTTTAAGGGCAATACAGAAGTGGGGGAAGATTGTGAAGGGGTACAGAAGTTTTCAAACAAAAAACAAGTCACAGAATAGGAAAGCAGAAAAAGATAATCACAGAGACCTGTGACTGTCTGCTAAAATGAATCAGGATTTATGGTTGGAATTTATATGGCTGTTTCAACTTGTCTGGTTGACAGACAAGTTACATCCTCATTTCCCCAAATATTAACTTACAAACATAGTGACTCACTTTATATCCAGCAAAAGGGCAGGGTCACTTGACAGTGTACTAAAAGCTTTACGAAAATAAAGCCCAAATTAAGAGGCAACCACACTGAAGCTTTGAAGAAATGTCAACTGCAGGGGAACCAACCTTTGAACTTCCTGCCGCTCATGAGTGTGCAGCAGGCTACAGAAGCATTTAATTTTAAGATGCAGCAGAATCAAAGCTTTTAGTTCTAACAACACTGAGTCTACTGAAAGGAAATTTTAAATGTTTAAATGGAAAAAAAATCTAAATGGAGTCACTCAACTCTGAGAAACACATATAACTGAACCAAGATAGCCTCTGTATGAAAATAAAAGTTGTCTGCATGAGCAACTGTATAAAAGTGCAGAATTCTGTTAGGCACAATTGGTGCCTGAAATCACAGGTTCCATAACATAAGAGTTACAGGCAGTTGTTTCAGGCACATGGTTTTTGTACTCAGAGGCAGTGTTTACCTTGTACTTTTAGGAAACTTGTAATTAGTTACAAAAGAACAGAAAGCTACATTATCTCTTCACCCTGGTGGAAGCTGGGTCCTACCTAGCTGATGAGATACAGAAGCTCTCATAGGCAAAGTTTTCTACTACTAATGATAAAGAAAAGAACAATTAAGAAACCATTTCTCTTTGCATTTTCTAGGGACCGAGAGAAAAATTACTCATCATTCCCAACAAGAAAATTCACATAAAGTTAAAATTTCTCGAAGGATTACCTGCTGCTACCAAGGACTAGCATAGGTGACTTGAATTCCCTGTAATAAGAACACCTGTGACAAACCTGTATTTCTTGTGTGTATTACAGTAAGTTATTTCCTAGAGGTATCTGAGTGTAAGGCCAATTATCAAAAGCTGGAATATTTGGAATTCCTTATTTTTCATCTCCTATTGTCAAGTTTTTTTAAAACCCAGAATCCTCTCAAAGAAGACAAAAAGTACAAACTCAATAAAGAAATTTATCTTTGTTTACTTAAAATTGAAATCCAGTTAGTTTTACCTGCAGAAAACAAGTATTCACAATATTTTGTCAATACAGCTAAGAAATATATATATATAACACAGCTACAGAAGACTAAAAGATGACTTTGGCATCTCCACCTGTAACTTCTAGGCTTATGCTTCAGTTCGGAAAAGCTTTTTTTGCTTCTTCCTCTGAATTTTGCGTGGTTTCCTTTTATCTTTTACAATTGGCTTTGACTCTGGTTTCACAAGCTGTATTTCCACTGGCTTTTCTTCAGCTGGAGTTTCAAAGACCACTTCAGTGGGATCCTCTTCCATAAGCATTTTACTCTCCTTTTTCTTAATCTTTTGTACTTCTTTCACTTGATGTTTCTCTCTAAACTTAGCAGCCATTGACAATCTTATCAACCGTCGATGCTACAAAAATAAGGATTTAAAATAGAACATTTAAAATAACTAAGATGTAAGAAATCAGATGTTATAACAACAGGCTACATTTCTCTGCTTAACTGTCAAAATCCACAACATAATGTTACTTTTCCATTGACAGGAATTTTGCATTCATTCCATTTTCGCACAGTTACTTTGTTCTCAAACAGTTAAGGCATTACAAAGAGATTCAGGAGAAGGCACGTGTGGATCTCTTGCACATACAGCTTGCAGTCTTCAAAGTAACTCCCGAAGAGAAGACAAGGCTGCTTACCATATTTGGGGACTGATAATAGGGATTCTCATACAAAGTTGGTCCTCCAAAGCTACCCTGGAAGATTTTTATGAGATTCAGGACAAAACGAGGCCCAATTTCTACTAGAGATGCATCCTCTTCTATTATCTGCAGTAAAAGAATACTCTATTTCAAATGGATTGAATCAATGTATATGACCTCATTGGCACTTTATACTACAATATAATATAAAACTCAACTTAAATCCAAGATACAACGCCACAGAAGTTTATAAGCTGCACTTTTACAAACACAGTTCTTCATACAGAGGAGTTCTGTTACGTTCAAGCAAGCATTTAAGAATACTACACATTTGTAAATTCCTCAGTTAGAAAGCAGGCACCCGCATACTTTGGGATAAAGCACCAAGTAAAGTTAAAAGTGAAGCTTAGGCTTTCATTACCAATTCATCTTATTAAGAGACCCATCACAGAACCACAGCTAACAAAGAGCAACAAGAACTTAATAGAACTGAAACAAATTATCTCCAAAGATACAGTAAAAGGCACCTTCTGAAAATAATTGTTTTTCTTATTGTATTGTAATTAGTGGATTTGATATAAAGTTACTCTACTGAGCAACACTGAAAGAGCTGAAAGAGACCACTAACCTGGTAATTTCGAAACCATATCCTCTTGTCTGTGATGGTGAATGTGAAAACGTGATCTACAAAGGGTTGGCTTTTGGGATGGTACTGTGGTGTACTGAATATCTGAAATAAAAGGCAGCACTTCTCAATATCTGTAGTTATGAGGGTACAAGCATTAATTTAAGTTATTAAGACTCCGATTCCAGGTTGCATACAACAAACTTAAGAACAAGAGTCCCAGTGACCTTAAGAACAACTCTAATTCTTTGAGTATTTTCTGCAGACTCAATTTGTATGGCGGGGCACAAAAAGAGAAATTAAAATAACTTACGGAAGAATTTCCAAGCTACACACTGACCTGAATAAACAATTCCTTCAGCAAGGCATAGTGTGGCTCCTTGTCAAAAGTCTACAACGGAAAAAACAAAATTTTAGATACAAAGATAAATGCATGAGTAACGTAAAGAAAATGGACATGTAATACATTAAATATAAATATTACACTTACTGGATCAAAGGACAGAAGGGGCCGTGAGCCTCTTAAGCAGTTTCCTGTCATCTTCAATTCTGCCAGTGTATGTACTAGTGATTTTTTTTTTTTAAAAAAGAGATCATTACTTAGATAAAGCTGTACAGAAAAGAAAGTAAGAGTCTAAACAAAGTAATATCAAACAACTTACTGTTCTGCACTAAGAATTTAGCTGATGGTCCTTGTGGAGTATTTGAAAGCCTGCAGAACAGAGACAGAAGAAAGAAAATAAAAATCTTAAGAGCAGCCATAAAGTTACATTGGGTATCTACAGTACACTCCAACAAATTATTTCCGTATGGAAGCAATTTCAGTCGCTTTTACAGCAGTACTGATTCCTTTAGGATACATATGCATACTTGCTTTCTGAACAATTTTGTAAAATGTTTTTGTAGTCTGTGGAAACAACTCCATGTTGTAAACTTTCACTACCTACAACAGAAGTGCAGTATTCTTTAGGACTTAACTAAGCACTATTTCAAGCAGCCTCACTATTACAGCAACAAACTTTAGGTAGAAGCATTGCCAATGGTATATATAAATGCAATTAACAAACAAAAAGCAGTATTTACTTACCACATATAAAGATCTTGTTTCTTTTTAGCTTCAAAGAAGATGCACTTATTACAGTTTTTCATTTCACATACCTACACAAAATATATCAAAGAGCTATTTATACAGTCACGAAGACATTTCAGAAACTTTCCATATTAATTTCTAATGTCTCTTAATCAAAAGATAACTTTCCTTTGGCATTAGCACCTTTTCAGTATCAATTTTCATTTATGATGTTACACAACTCTATAACTAGTAACAGGTCTTTTGAGCTTGGATACCTCTTGCACACAAAAAATAAAAATTAAAATCAGAATTACCTCATTAATTACAAACAACTTGTCTTTGCGGTCCATTTTAGTATCTGGAAAACAAAAACAATGTTGAGAAGGCCTGAACACCAAATTAAAACACAGAATTAATAGAGTTTGCCCAAGTTTTCACTGCTGTGAACGGAAGATCAACTATCAAGGGCTTTTTAGCCATGTCATGCTGTCATAGAATATCCTGAGTTGCAAAAGATCCACAAATATCACGGAGTCCAATTCCTGGCTTCAATCATTTGTTCAATCCAATTGTAAATAAGCCTAGTTTGTTATCATGTATTTTTAGAATTCTAGAATGTGTCCTAGGATGCTTTTCTGTACTGTAACAGATAACCAGACTATATTTTATATGTCCCTTTCTTCACAAAGTCAGATTTCTACTAAAAATCCTGATAACTTTACACAGCAGGATGCTATAATGAAATTGGATAATAATACATGACAAAAGCACACTTACAAGACAAAAGCCATAAGAATAATCTCTCAGAGAATACAAGGATATAGCGTATGCTGTATTTGTTGGCTGAAAAAGTGTTTGTTCTTTGCTTAGGATAAGAGGCTACACTTTCATCAAAACAATTACGTATCACATTTTTAAAATAACACATTCTTAGAAGTACTTGGTTTAAGATAACTCAGCAAATGCACTGAGAATAATGCTCAGCCCTACCTGCTTTAGAATGAGGCATCAGTGTTCTTAAGTCTTGCATTAAGTGCCTCGTTCTGAAATTAATTCCACGGGAAGAGAAAATAAGCACCCTCTCCTTGTTCTTCCATTTACCCTAAAAAAAAAAGAGACAAAAACATAAGTAAGAAATTTAATTTTCTTGAAGTATCTTACAACACAGCAATAAAAGACATCTGAACTGCAGTAACAGAAAAGCACAGCAAGGGCATTCATAGCAATCTCACAACCTGCACAGAACCTCCAGCTTTGCAAAGGTTCGACTTTTTACATAACTGCTCACCACGATGCTTCATGAGGTTCCCACGTGAAAGCCTTTCGCTACTACAAAAGGCATATAAAAACATTAAGAAGTCCACACACGGTGGATGTCCTAAAAAGAGCCCTCCTCCTCTGCAGGAGGACCCGACCCCCCCGAGCGGGCACAGGAACACGGCCCCTTCGGACGAGCACGCGACACGGTGCACCATGCTTCAATGAAAAACAAGCAGCAGCACCTAACCGCCATTTCTGGGACCCCCTCAGAATAAGTCCGACACGAAGCACACGCAATATCGCCTGGATATAACGGCCCTGTAGGCGTTTCTGAAACGTTTTTTAGCTCGTGGTAACGCAGCTTAACGGAACGGCCCACAGCAGTGCTTCTTTGCGCAGCTTCACGGGAGCCGCACCATCAGATGCCGCTTTTGCTCGCAGTTACGTTACGAGAGGACTGCAACACATCCCCGTAACCCCGCGCAGCTGCTGAGCTCCCATCGGCACCCCGAGTCCCAGCGCCGCCCAGCTCGGCCCAGCGCACCGCACCGCGCCGCGCCGCTACCTGAGAGACGGGCGCCGGGATGCTGTACTCCTCCGGGGCCGCTCCCTCCGGGCCAGCCTTAGCGGCCGGCTCGGATCCGGTCGGAGCTCCCTTCGCTCGCTTCTTCGGCCGGCCAGCAGCCACCAACTCACGCTTCCTCTTGGCCGCCGCCATCTTGGAAGCACCGCGCCGTGCGCCGCTCGCACTTCCGTCCGCCCCTCGCGCCACCGGAAGTGCCCGCGCCGCTGGTTGCCGTGGCTTCCGGCCCCCTGTAGGCCCCGTCAGGCCTCGGTAGGCCTCGTCAGGCACAGTCGGGCTCCGCCGGGGCCCGCCATGCCTTTTTCCACACAGTCGCCTGCCAGTAGCGAGCAGTATGTCCTGACGGCCAGCCTGGACAACGCCCGCAATTTGTCCAGCCTCCTCAGGGCCGTCCACTTCCAGGATCACGCCACTTGCTTCGCCACAGCCAACGGCCTTCGGGTGACCGTGGAGGATGCTAAATGCATTCAGGCCAATGCTTTTATCCAGGTAGGGGCTACAGGCTTAGCTGCTTCCAGTGAGGCCGTGGTTAACGGTGAGAAGGGGCTGGCAGCGGTGCTATGGACTTGATGAAAGCTCAAATGATGTGGTAGAATTGGCGTACAGAAGATTATCTGTGGGGAAAGGGTAGCTTTAGTACAGTCATGGAGTAGTTGCAGAAGCTGATGTGAGGAAGATGCAGTGATCAGAATGTGGCCGTTCATGAATCATGTCATGTTTGGAGATGGGATCTTACAGATCACCTACTGCCAAACCCTGCCGAGGACAGATCATAAAATCATTCATGTTGGAAAAAACCTTGATAGAGTGAGAGGTAATGGCCTCAAGTTGTGCCAGGGGAGGTTTATGTTGGACGTAAGGAAGAACTTGGAAAGAGTAGTGAGGTACTGGAACAGACTGCCCAGGGAAGTGAAGTCATCATCCCTGGAGGTATTCAATAAATGAGGAGATGTAGTACTGAAGGACGTGGTTTAAGGAGTGTGGTGGGGTAGGGTTGGACTGGATGATCTCAACAGTCTTTTCCAACTTTCATGATTCTGTGCTAACTCCAGCCATCAACCTGACCTCCTGAGTCTCACCATTAACCCAGGTCTTCTAATGCCATATCCACATGTTTCTTAAGCATCTCCACCACTGCGATGAGCAGCCTGTTCTAATGCTTGACCACCCTCTCCTGGAAGAGATTCTTCCTCATATCCAACCTAAGCCTCTCCTTCTGCAACTTGATATCATTTCCTTGCACCTTGTCAATTGTACCTAAGAAAAGAGACAAACACCTCCATCACTGTGATCATGTTTCAGGTAGTTAGTTAGAAGAGAGTGAAGAGATCTCCCCTCAGTCTGCTCTTCTGCAGATTAAACAACCCTACTCCTCATAAGCCACTCCTCATATGTGTTGTTTTTTAGACCCATCAGCAGCCTTTTTGCTCTTCTCGGCAGAGGCTCAAGTTGTCAGGACTGAAAGACCAAACTCAGTGACTGGTTTATTCATACATGCTTGCTTGCTTCCATTAAAGTGTTAGCACCTGTTAAGCCAGTGGCTCCTTGTAGCCATGCCATTCCTAGGTTCACGAGTGTGTTCCTCTGAGATTGTTGAGCTTTTAGGTGAATTCACCATGCCTGCTGCTCATTATGTTGCTGGGAATCAACTGCTTTGTGGTAGTTACCAGAAGAGAGTACTGGGGAAAAACACAAACAAGCAGTCATTTGAACAGCTTTTGAAAGAAAAGTCCATCCTGTCAGTCTCACCTCTGTGCCAGCAAAGATCATGGAGCAGATCCTCCTTGAAGCTATGCTAAGGCACATGGAAGGCAGGGAGGTGAAGGTAGGCAGTGGTAGGCTTTACTGCTCGTAGTTTGTTTTAATCTATAATAAAAAAGTGTTAATGTGTTCTTGGTTATACATTACTACTTTATTTAAACTGTAACTTGATTTATTATACTGTTTTTTGAGGATGAAGACTGATTTTTTTTCAGTGGTTACTGTGTTACGTGTAGAAAATACTGCATGTTACAGTGGTCTCTGAAAATGTAAGACATGAGTAAACTGTAAAGTAATTGAAAAAGCTTCGCTGTCTTCATCTCTTTCTTTTCTCCCAAAGGCAGAAATTTTTCAGGAATTTCATGTTCAGGAAGAATCAGTGATGTTCCGAATCAATCTGGCAGTTCTTCTTGACTGCTTGACCATTTTTGGTGCCAGTTCTTTGCCAGGTATAGTGCATACCTTGACCATATGTATGTATAACCTGTAATCACACAATGAAACCTGTGCTTATCCATTGTGAGCTATCCAGTCTTAGCAAAACTTCTGACTTCTTCACCTCAAGCTCTTCTGAGGGTAGAAGCTCTCACCGTTAAGCAGCTTTTATTGCACTTTAGAACTTGTTGATCAAGTGTCCCTTTGCTGTGAACCGTAGAAGTAATCACACTGAGAGAGAGCTTGGAATATAACTTGGAATTCCTTAAAATTAAAAATTGTGTCTCAACTCAGTAGCAAATGTGCTCTGTTTTCTATTATTTCTACGGCTTGTGCAACTTTGGAATATCCTGAAGCCTAAAAAACATTAACAAGGGTGTTTGTGAGTTAGGAAATGTTCTGGTGCAGATTACTGGGCTTGAAGAGGCCTGCAGCAGTTCCAGGTAGGACCATCAATTCACTGTGCTCTTGCTCCCAAAGCAGTAGCTGTTGTTGTGTGTCACTCTCTGTTCACTTCCCTCTTCCCAATATCCCTGCCTTACGCTTTGTGAATATTTATCTGCACTGTGCAGATAAGGTACTGAGGCATATTACTTTCCTAAGGTCTTGCAAGAAATCTGGCTGAATTGGGTAGCACTTCAGGTACTGTAAGTAAACCATCTTAGCCCCAGAGCATACTTCTTTGGTGAACAGAGCATTTCTGAACTTGTTGATCAAATGTGTGAATTATGAAATCCAAATGTTTGTTAGATTACAGAATCACGAAAATGGCGTGGGTTGGCAGAGACCTTTAAAATCACCCAGTTTGAATGTCCTGCCATGGGCTGGCTGCCCCCATCACCTCAGGCTGCCTAGGGCCCCATCCAACCCTGCCTTGCATGCTTCCAGGGATGGGGCACCACAGCTCTCTGGGCAGCAGTGCCAGCGCATCACTTCCCTCTGAGTAAAGAATTTCTTCCTTACATCTAACCTAAGTCTCCCCTCTAATGTGGGAAATTGCCTTCACAGTTATGTACATTGCTTTATAAAGAATTATATTGCTTTAAAAAAAATTAGGGAAATTTTATTTCCTGGAAGTTTTTTCTTCTCCTTACTTAAGGAGAGTTCAAAAAGAAGTTTTCATAAGCAAAGATAGTTACAAGTTAGCTTAGCTTTGTGGATCCTATGGGATGCACTGTATACTCGTGTGGAGTAGACTGAAAGGATGTGGGCTTTCACATGCTGCTTTACCACTGGAACTATGTATTGAACTCCAGATTCCTCTGCTGTTCCTGTTGTGATTCTGACCTAAAGACTTAAACCAGCTGTGCTGAACTGCACTGTGATTTTAGTAACCTAAACATTCAGATATTTAGCAAAAGGAGGATACAACCATATTGCAAGCTAAGCTGTGTTGTGTTTGGGTGTGCTATATGACAGGAAAACCTGAATTTCCTGAAGTGATCAGAGGCCCTAGTGGATATTCTCTGAACAAGTATTTCATTCTCCTTTTCAGGAACATCAACAGCTCTTCGGATGTGTTACCGTGGTTATGGCAATCCCTTGATGTTGTTCTTAGAAGAAGGAGGAGTAGTGACAGTGTGCAGAATTAACACTCAAGAACCTGAGGACTTGTTAGACTTTAATTTCTGCAGTACCAACGTCATCAATAAAATTATCCTGCAGTCAGAGGGGCTGCGAGAAGCATTTTCTGAACTTGATATGACCAGTGAAGTTCTGCAGATTACCATGTCTCCAGAAAAACCATATTTCAGGTACTGGAAACTATGTTTTCAACTCAAATGTTCCTGCTTTTCCTTTTTGCATTTCCCTGGGTAAGGACTGGAAGTATACAGGATGAAGAGGAGGGAGCTCTTACAGAGTATTAGTTCATTTCAAGGAGAAATGTACTGAATGTAGCAAATCACAGTATATAATCTCATTAACCTAATAAGGAATACATTGCCAAACTGGTAAAAACTATTCTAATGGTCACAGTTTAGCATTTTTAGTCAAATAAAGTGAAACAAATGGTAGTGTTTTGTAAAATAGCTGTAGTAATATGCAAGCTGACTGCTTCTGACAGATTTTTAGGAGAAGTCCTTAAGAGAATTAGAATCTGGGGTTGTTGGTTGATAAAAGACTCAACATGAGCCGACAGTGTGTGCTTGCAGCCCAGAAGGTATCTTGAGTTGCATTGTGAGAACCATGACCAGCAGGTTGAGGGAGGTGATTCTGTCCCTTTTCACTGCTCTCATGAGAACCCACCTGGAAAACTGCATCGAGTTCTGGAGCCCTCAACACAAGAAGGACATGCACCTCCCCTACAGGGAAAGGCTGAGAGAGCTGGACTTTTCAGCCTGGGGAAGTCTCTGGGGTACCTTATAGTGGCCTTCCAGTATTTGAAGGGGGCCTACACAAAAGTTGTGGAGGGACTTTTTATGCAGCATGTAGCAACAGGATGAGCGGAAGTGCCTTTAAGCTGGAAGAGGGTAGATTTAGATTAGATATTAAGAAGAAATTCTTTACTGTGAGGGTCGTGACACACTGGAACAGGTTGCGCAGAGAGGTTGTGGATGCCCCCTCCCTGGAAGCATTCAAGGCCAGGCTGGATGGGGCTGTGAGCATCCTGGTCTAATGGAAGGTGTCCCTATAGCAGACAGATTGGAACTAGATCCCAATCAGTTCTATGATTTTTTGTAGCTGCTATCAGTTGTTATGGGATGGTGCCTTTTGTCTTGCAGGTTATCCACTTTTGGAAATGCAGGAAGTGCACATCTGGACTATCCCAAGGATTCAGATTTAATGGAAGCATTCCACTGTAACCAAACCCAGACAAACAGGTCAGTAAGTCCATGATCAGTGCACTCTGTAGCAGCTCATTCATTTGCAATAGAAAATGAAAAAAGCTGATTTTGTGTTACTCTAGTAAAATTCTGTGTCTCTGATCAAAAGCTAAGTGGTAGCAATATCTAACTAATGAAGTTACCCTAAAAAGATTAACACAGTGTGATGCTAATTATTTTGTAGTCATTCTGATGAGTTTAGTTGGGGATAGCGTTTCAGCTACTCCTTCTGTGCCTTTTTTGAATGCCATTTTTCTCCCCTACAGGTACAAGATTTCTTTGCTTAAACCATCTACAAAGGCACTGGCTTTATCTTGTAAAGTCTCCATTCGAACTGATAACCGAGGATTTCTTTCACTGCAGTATATGATTAGGAATGAAGATGGACAGATCTGTTTTGTAGAATACTATTGTTGCCCCAATGAGGAAATCACTGAAGCAGAATTGTAGTTGCATATTCTGATTCTAGTGTCTGTATTATATTTATGAATATATGAAGTGTTGTATGTTTATAATACTGATTGAAATCTGTAAAGAGAGATTGGTAATATGTATTTTTTTTACAGCTGTGGGATTAAAAATAAGAAGTCTTCTTTCATAAATTTCCCTGCCACTGTTTCTCAGCCTTGACACACAAAAAAAGCAGAAAGTAGTATTAATCTTCAAAAGTCACAGATACCATACACGTTAAAACTGTCTCCTTGTAATATGCTGCTGTCATTTACAGCACTGTCCAAGCATTTTTGTTTGTGTTTTGGCTTTTCTGGCTTTGTGGTATGGCTTGTTCTAAGCAATTACAGAAGGGGAAGTGTGAGTATTAGCTGTATGTTAAACAGCCAGTTAATTTCCAATTACCTAATTTGTCATTCTCTTGAAAGAGAATGACATTTTCAGTTTCATTTCATAATAGCAGCAGGTACCTTCTTTTTACAAACACTGACATGGTGTTTTGGTAAAACTAATGGGCTTCTCATCATAGAATCATAGAATGGCTTGGGTTGGAAGGGACCTCTGGGATCATCAAGTTCTAACCCCCCACTACAGGCAGGGTTACCAACTGTTAGATTAAGTACCAGAGCAGATTGCCCAGGGCCCCATCTAACCTGGCCTAAAACACCTCCAGGTATGCATTCATGTTATACTCATGTTATGTTTTTCTTCAACCAGATCCTGGGTCCTACTCAGCAGGGCTGCTCTCAAGGAGTTCTTCCAGTTTGTATACACATCTGGGGTTACCTCAAACCAAGTGGAAAACCTTGCAGTTTGCTTTTTTGAACCTTGTTAGTTTCACAAAGGCACACTTTTCAAGTTGATCGAGTTCCCTCTTGAGGGCATTCCTTCCTTCTGCTGTATCAACTGCACCCCTCAGCTTGGTGTCATCAGCAAACTTGCTGAGGTTACACTCAGTTGGGATGTGTACCCTGTGCCAGGTGTGCTGCAGTCATAGTGCAGCAGTCACTGGGTTCACAGTGTTCTGTCCCTTCTCCTCCAGAGATGGTGGCAGTGCAGTCCCAAGCACACAAAATTCCACCATATATTCCATTAGCTTGCAATCCGAGAGCATGCACAGGGATAGCATCTGAATTCATTTTAGAGTGTTTGGTCCCCCTGCTCTGGCTTTGGTATTGTCCCTACTGGCACTAGAATGCTCACAGTGAAGAACAGTGAAGAACAGAGATGCAGTGCATGCTGACAGAATTGTTATGCTGCTCCTTTCTTATCCGTGTTGCATTTCCTTTGCCTAATTCAGGGAAATGCAGAACCTTGTAAGCCATCATCCCCAGGAGACAGAAGAGATTCAGGTCCTGGTTTAGCGTAATTACTGTTGGCTCATTTATCTGAATGAGCAACCTGGGAGGAAGGCAGCATATGCACATCTTCCTCTTCCAGATGACTCACATCTCCATCTTAGTTCTGCATTCACTACCTCATCCAACAATACTTTGGTGCAGGACTCCATGAACAAAGCCACCTTGGAGATTTTTCAGCCATTCTTCAAGCTGTTCCCCCAAATCCATGACAGAGAGCTGCAAGAAAAAGATTACTGTGTGCAAGGGAGTTGGCCACCCATACCAGTGCCCATGAGCAGCCATGGTCCAGGTCAGATCTTGTGGGGCCACAGCTCTGCCAGAGGCACATGAGTAGACATTGGGCTTCCCAGCATCCTGCCTGGAGGCTGGCAGAAGGGATGTTTAAAGTTCCTGATGAACTTAGAAGCCTCTTGCTCCTATAAGACAGTGGGCTAGTCCAAAAATGAGCAAGCTAGCAGAAAGCAGAAGTCATCAAAGAAAACCGTGCATTTACAGAATTAGTTTATGTATTTGTATGTTGTGGATTTTACCCTGTAAGTACCAATAGATTATAGTGCTTTTATACAACAACAGAAGTAGCAAGCTGCAATGATTCTGCTTGCTTGAAGAGCAGCAGACACTCAAGCAGATGCTTTTCTTCTAGCCATTTGCACACAATCTCTGCAGTCCCAAGACCAGAGGAGTGAATGTTTAGGTTCACAGGTGTTCCCCCGGGGGCTGTACTTATGGCCCAGGTCAGGCTACTCCTGCCCACGTTGAACCTTCCCAGCAGGGAAAGCACCAGGTGCTGTGAGGTTGGGGTTTGCACTGCTGGAAGCTCACTTTGCAGAATGCTGGGCAGTCTATACAGAGGAAAGGAGTAGGGCTGTCCTGTAGGAGCTAAGGGTGCTTTTACCTCTTCATGGCGCTGAGGGGCGCATTCCCTGCAAGCAGCCACAATCCAGGTGTGCACCAGTGATTGCAGACAAGCGGTGCTGCCCATAGATGCCTGTGGAATGGGCTGGAGCTGGTATTGGAGGCCCCTTCTCCCTGCTGCAGACTATGCCCTGGTGCTGCAGAGATGAGACGCAGTGTGCCAAGCTGCAGAGTCTGCTGCTTCAAAACCCAGGCAGGGCACCAGTGGAAAGAGCCGTGACACAGCCTGGGCTTGCATGCTGTGGTGGCTGTGCCATGGCCATGCTCCTCGGAGCAGCCAGGCACAGGTTAATGCCAGGACACTCTGCAGCTGAGGTCCTGGGTGGTAGCACTGAACCAGCAAGGAGAGGGACTGGGAAGAGGAGGCACAGAAGGGTGCTGGGTGCACAGAGCTGCACATTGACCCTTTCAGGACTACAAGCCCAAGCTGGGAAATCATGTAGGGCATACTCCGATTTGGAGAGGAACACAATGCAAGTCACATTGGCCAAAGCATGTGAAGAAGAGAGTCTCACTTCCATATCCTCCAGCAGGTTTAAAACCACTACAGGTGTCATGCAGCCCTGTCTGGTACTGCAGGGCTTCCAGGATCCGCTGCAAGCCCCACTGCTTCCCCCACACTGCAGCCTCTCAGCTGGCACCCAGCTCTGCAACATCTGCACAGCTGTGCCAAGCCAAACTGCTCAGCACAGCACTGCTGCCTTAGGAGCTAAAACCCAGAGGAGCTATTTCTAGGGCTGAGGGCAGCCCAGACCTCTGTGTTTTGAGCCTTCCTTCCCTAGAACTCTCCAGCTGGAAGGGGCTCAGCAGAGAAGGTTTTATCTTTGTCTCTTCCTTATGGTTTTGTTAGGAAAATGCAGCTTAATCCAGCGCTCTTCTTGCTTCCCAGCCTTTTTTTTTCAGGGATACAAAAGCAGACAAACACTTTTGGACAGGGCTTTGGCACATGGACGGCACTTGGTGCTAGATGAACACTCGGGCTGTCAGCACAGCCACCACTGGGGGGCGCTTTAGTTCAGCTCGAAGGGCAGAGCAGCCACGTGGCAGCAGAGCCCGCGGCCGGACACAGCTGGCTGGGTGCTGCTCGCCTCCGAGGGCGGCCAGAGGCAGGCGCCATCCCGCAGCCCTGCTCCTAGCAGCAGAGCTCCTGGAAGTGATGAGGTCAGTGAGCTGTGCCTGTTTCCAATCTTCAGCTGCTGGTAGGAGGCCCCATTACCAACCGTCTGAGCATTTCAGGCTGGTGGAAAATGTAAGGGGAGGGCCAGCACCAGGAACCTGGACAGAGCAGCATTTGAGGTTTTTAAATCATGGACTGAAAAATTGATGACTGTGTAAATATCTGTGTTAAACTCATCAAACAGCGGCCTGCCAGAGCAGCCAAAGGCTTGTACACCGTGATGTGTTGCCTTAAGATGCTTCAGGAATGACACGCTGTATCACAGACATACTATACTCTCCTGAAGCCAACGCTGGGACAGGACTTGGCATTTTCAGGACTAAATGCACAAACCTGAACCACTTGTACAAAGGGGCAAATCTCATGTCAGTGAGATGCTGTTCCACAATCCCATCACTGAGTTTGTGAGATAGAGGCTGCCATTTCTCTTAGAAAACCTTCTGTCCCATGGTATCACAGCACAGGAGAACATGGCCCTTTACAGGTATCTGACAAAGTGCTCCACTTGCCAGACAGTCTGCAGCAGGAGCTTTCTGCAGCACATCTTGAACCTCTTTAAATAGGGGAAACTTACTAACACAGCTTTGAATTCCTTTTAGCTGCAGTTCACCATGGCATGTAATTCTAAGAATGGTATTAACAATCATTTTCATAAAAAGAGAGTTGTTATTGTCCAGAAAAGAAAACAAAAAGTATGGTTACAGTCTGTGTTTAGTATCTCTTACTTATTTCCAGATGGATTCAAATAGGCAGATGTAAGAAATTTGGGACATTCATTTCTATGAGGTGTTTTGCTAGGGGCTGGCTCGAGCTCACAAGTTTAACTGCTGACCCACATTTAGAGAACAAGACCATTGAAAGTTTCAAGGTAATCAAACTCTGGATCTGTTGCTTGACATTAAATGCAGTGCACTTTTACTGCTCTGTGCGGCAGATCAAAACCAGAGCACACAGAGGATTTAAGCCACTGATCTGGCTTCAAACCTTGCACCAGTTCATATTTGTTCGGAAAATAGTACTCAGTTTTATGCCTGTGTCTGCAGAATTTGTGCTGGGTTACATCATGTCTGTCTATGCCGTTGCTTTGTGCCTCACACACAGCTCCTCCAGGACCCTTCCTACCCGTTTCTTCCACACCCTGCACAATGGCCTGCAGTGCAGCTGCTGGGCTGCCAGCAGTGGCAAACAGCTGAAAGCACCAGAGGCTGCTCCCGCTCCAGGCCCTGCCCCACAGCGGGAGGTGTGACCTTACTAATCCATCAGCAATCAGCAATTAAATCATTAATATACAATGTGAAATGACTCAAATCTGGCCTGCCAGGTGATCTCACTGTACTTATTCTGTACAGCAGTCTCACTTTCAGCACTCTTGTTCAAAAGAAATACACTACTAAGAAGCTTAGAGAAATTTTGTACACAGTCAAAAGAGCTACTTGACCCTCAGGATACTGCAAAACATGGTGCAATTCCTGCCATTTATGTGGCTTGCCCTGAGACAAAAAGACATAATTAGCAAGTTAGTTACTGAAAAAACTTATTTTTCCAATAAAGCTTGAGTGAGAGATGATAAAAAGAGTATCAGTCAATCCTGATATGTACAGAGAAGTTCACATACACAGATATGCATGTGCACACCCATACAGACATGCCCACAAATACATTTCCACTGTAGTTCTGTGTACTGAGCAAAGCACCAAGCGATAAAGGAGAGATGGGGGGCCTCACCCACCTCTGACACTTGTCTAAGGTCTTTTTAAACCCATGATTCTGTGAATGCGTCCAGTGTTGAATGGGAGAACTGTATTAGTTAAGCAGGATATGAATGTGAGAGAGAACTCTGAGCCTATCAATCCAACACAAGGCACAATCTGCCAAACTGGTTGCACAGGGTTTGGAGTGGATTCTGTTCCACCAAACAGCTTAGAGTTAATTGCAAAGTTGCAAATTCAAGGGGCACATCTGATAGTTATTTAAACATAGAATATAGGACACATTTGTACTACAGTAAAGCAGTGACTGTAGCAAGATTTCCCTCAATAAAAAAAGTAGCTGAAGTCATAAAAAGAACCAGGATGAAAAAACTGGAAATAGTTTATTTGCTGCATAAGGAAAGTTTTTGTAAATTACATATAAAGAAACTTGCTATGCTGTAGTGTATAATTTTCAGTATTCCACAAAGATAATTGTAATAAATATACAAACCAAAACACGGTAGAAGACTAAATCCATCAGGCAACCTACAAAATGGTTCACCAGGTTTTATACTTTGCAGCAGTAGCATGCTTAAAATTTTGTTGTTCATTCTGAAGTGCTGCAGCAAAATTCTTTTCACATTTCTTTGGAGAATTTTCAAAACCGCCTAACTAGAAAATACTGTCCAAAATAAGCAGGCACTAGTTAAACCACCCAAGGAAAGTAACACCAATGTCTAACTGATGCAAAGGCATGTTTTGTTTGTTAATTTGTTTTAAAAATCCAATTTAGTTTTGCCAGGGTTAGGAATTATCTGATATAAGTGCACTATGAGTCCAGCCAGCCTCTGGCACTGCTGGCTCTTGTCCTGTTATGTCTCTATATTAACTTCATACAGCTCTGGAGATTTCTCTAGTAGAGATGCATCCACTAGCAGGGAGAAAACAAATACCACAGTGAAGCTGCAAGATCGGTCAAATGGTTATACCCTCAAGTGCAGTGTGTGCTTAGAAAATGTTTTCTTAATTTCATACTAAACTACACTGGGCATTTTTATTTGACTTCTAAATCTGAAAGTGCTGACATTCTTGATACCCCTGGCCTCTAGAAACAAAATACAGGGATTTTTGATGTCTTCTGGAGTTCTCTACCTATCATTTCTATACTTGTTGACACATCAGGCTGAACTGCATTTGACACCTCACTGCTCTGGACCACACTGACAGACATGTCTATTATTCTGTACAGATGTTGTTCGAACTGAGAACACTTCTCTGTGCTTTGCTGTTATTGAATACTTGGGGGTATAAAAAGAAATTCTAATACACGATTACCTAAAAATATTTGTTAATAAGCTTAATGCAAATATCACGTAGAAAAAATGGTTTAGTTATAAAAAAAAATTAACTAGAGGGCCAATAAAAATAGACTGAAGAGAAGATCTTTACAAAAGTGAGGTTAGGAAGTATGAGGCATTAACATTCACTGTAAACATCCTGTGTTCACTAGAATCCCTTGTCTAAAGCATATGTTCTGATTTTGTTCCTGAGCTTCATGGCCAACACTTGCATAGATAGCTAAACCTATTATAATTAGTTGCTTGTACAGACAACTTCAATAAACTACTTATTTTATCTTTTGAAATAGTTTAAGTTCAAATAAATTGTTTATTCAGGGAAATCATGAAGCATGGTAGGATTTTTATGTACTCAGTGCATTGGATGGGTTGGGACAGCCACATTATGGTGTGCTAATCTTAAATAAAATTAGGTTTCTAAGTAGAGCTGTTGGATGTTCCGGCTCACCATAAAGATCTACTTCTACTCACTGCTGCAAGGCTCACTTCTGCTCTGCCAGAGACTGCATGTGGCAAAATGTCTGGAATCTAAGTGCTGCACCATCAAGCAATTAAAATATCCCCATTAACAAGATGCAGCTTATACACAGTGCAGGAGTCCTTATGGAGAATTTCACCATTTTCCAGGTGACAAGAGTGCTTGCCTCCAGATTAACCTCCCTCTTGGAGGAAGCTAAAAAGTACTTTCAGAGTAAACATGACATGGAGTGGCCTAAGTCTGAAGAACATACTTGCATTTTGGATATGAAAAGCAGGCATGTGTTTAGTTGCTGCTAAAGCAGATGCACATGGAAAGTAGTAGAAACAAACAAATCCACCTCACAAACAACACAACAACAAAAAAGCAGCAAATTGCCAATTTTAAATCTTACGTTAAGGCAAATCTAGATAAACACCCATAAAGTATTAATAGAAATGGGGAGATTTGCTTTTTTGTTTACTTTTTCTGTGATTGGCTTTTACACATTGATAAAATTTGTTTAAGCACCTTCTGGACATCTTCATCCATTTGACCCTAGACAAGGGAAGAAAGAAGAAAAGATGATTGAATTAAAATATTTCTTGATTTTTAAAATGATTTGCAAACTATTTCTAAGGTAGAGTAATTACGTCAATTTCCCAAAAGACAGCAGTGATACATTTGTGCTTAACCAGTCAGATGTTTGGGGCAGTATGTCTTTAATATAGCCTGCAATGTTCTTAATAGTTCTGCAGCAGAAACATCTGCCATTAAAATACCAGCACTGTATAACCAGTAACACATAGCCTTACCTGCACAGCATAGAGAAGATGCATCCTGTAAACTGACACTGTTTCCTGATGTTGTTTCTTCGTTTCCTAGAAAATAGTTAAGCAGAAAGTCACAGAGCATTTAGAACTGCTGAATTCAGAAATCCCCACCCAGATGTATGGAGCTCTGCAAAAGATATGAGTAATCATCTAACGCATGCATGGAGAACCATATGAAACACACTTCTAGCTGCCTCAAACAACATTTGCTGGGAAACAATCCACAGAAATGCTGTAATCATACCCGCCTCATATCGTACCAACCAAAAAGTTGCTAAGATGGTATCAGTGGTAAGAACCACTGATGTAAAGGTGTGAAATAAGATCATACTCTGTTTATAAGTTTATCAGAAAACAAAGCAGAGAAAAGATGACAATACTCTGACAAACCAACCCTTGGCTGCAATGGAGCTTTTCCTAATGTCAGTAACCCTTTTGTCAGCAAATGCCTTCTTGGGGAAAGAGACATTTCCAAATGTCTTAATCCATTAAATTCTGTGTTAACTACTATACATTTAAACAGGGAAATCCAACCTTCTTTGTCATGATCAGACTGCCATATACCAGAAGCAGTCTTTCTAAATAAATGTTTGTACAGATGCTGTTGGGAAAGCCAGTGTAAGAGAAGGGACGAATGCTTCTGTCCTGTTTTAAATCCTATCCACTGCCCTAACACAATGTACATCTGCACTTCACAGTACTTTCCTGGCCTTTGAGCAACAGGAAATGAAGGCTCTTTACAGACTTGACTGGAATAAGAGACACCCACAGTTTGATATGTTTTTAGTGAGAAGATACCTATTAGCTACCTACCTAATTATTTCTCCCCACTGCAAGGGATTTTTTTCTTTTCTTTCTGGACTATGTGCATGTTAATTCCTCCATCTGCCTGACTTTCTTCCTGAAAAGCCAGAAATACCTTCTTCTCATCTCATCTAAAGTGAATGATTATGCTGCTTTCGACAGGCAAGCTCTTGAAAATAGCCGTAACCTGACTTAGAAGACTGGGCCTTGCATGCATGAACAAGTACAATCTTAAAACTCTCTATGCATTTCAGAATTTCAGAAAATAAACTGTTCTCCCTTATAAACATATGGTCTTGCTTGATTTGAAGCTTCACACCTTCAAGGGCTATTTTCTTCCAAAAAAGTCAAACTTATTTTAGCTTAAAAACAAAAACAGTAAGATTTCAGCTTATAATAAATGATCTTGAGAAAAAGTAAAACTCTAATCCACAGCATGTTGGCCATATTTTTCACAAATCAGAATCTCAACAGCAGATCTGATCATTACTTTGTATTACGAGTACAGGCACTTTCCTCCATTACTGATCTGAAGAAATATATACAGGAAAATAGTTTTCTTTAATTAGATTAATTTTGAAGAACAATTCATAAGTGACCTGCAGAATTTTAAGTGTTTCAGAGCATTGTAAAATCTCTGGATGAAAACTCTTTCTTGTAGTCGTTGTGCTACATTTTAAGTAAGGCACAATTAAGAATGGTGTGCACATCTACAGAGAACTGAGAGTGACAGTGGGTTTGTGAATTATTACACTTACAGTCAGTTGGTTTTGCAGCTGTTTCACTTGTTGTTGTAATGCTTCCAGCTGCTGACTTTGTCTTTTGGGGGCACTGGTTGAGTAGGAAAGCTGAGAAAGGCTGTTCAAAGCTTCTTTTAATTTGCTGACTTCCTTGGACATTTCATTTATCTAGAAAGGTGAAAAATGGGTTTTCATTAAATGCCAGAATGCATACTATATTCTCATTAATCTTATTCTTTGGGATATTTGGGACTTAAACTGAAAGAGCTGGGGAAAGGTGAAAACTCAGTGGAAAGCAGAGACACTGCATAAGCAATGAATTATAACACTTCTCTAGCTCACTCTCAGCAGTCATTCAAAATGTATTAATTAATGTATTAATTAATCTGAACAATATTTACAAAGGCTATATTTACAACCTTAGCAGATGTGGCTTCTAAACACAAGACAGCAACATACAAACAGGCTATTCACAACTTGCAAAACACATAACTTTTCATAAATAAATGTTTACAGATACAGTTGTTGCACAAGAAAAACAGTCATCATGTTGATAGAACCTGATACAAGTCAGGATACAGTAAACTTAAAATAGTTAATTTCTGCTGTTTTTTGTTATCTTCTGTTTCCCTATCTCCTGGGGAGCCTTTTTCTGCTGTACATTACACTTCTTTGACTTCAGTTACATGAACACTGCGAACCTAATCTGAACAGAAGTTAAAAGACATGAATTGAAATATGTGCACCTCTACAGGGATGGAAGATAACTATAAAATCAAATATGTCAAAGAAAAACTCCTTTGGCTAAGATTTGAGGGACAGTACTGTCACAGTAGAGATTCTTTCTTTACTCTGTGACCCCTGACACAATACACGGTTTATGGTAACCCATGACCCATCTGGTATTTTGTAGTATGGATTCATGTACTACTTTGCTGCATCAATCACTAACCTTTTTATCTTTATCCTCTTCTAGCTTTGATGAGCTTTCAGAGTATCTTTTCATTTCAAGAAGATCTTCTTGAGCTTGATGATACTTTTGATGAAGACCACTGACCTCACGTTCCTTTGCTTCAAGCAGATTATGCATACCTTCTTTCTCTTCTTTCAAATGCAAAACTTCATTTCTCAGTTGCATAACATCTAAGGACACATTTTCCTTCTCTTTGATTACATCCTTCAGTTTTGATGACAAAATACTAACTTCACCTTCTAATGAAGATTGGAGTTTTTCATATGCAGCCCTGGGTACCATTGCTTCATTAATTGCAGCTTTTTCTTCTAATAATTCCTTCTGTAGATTTCTTACTTCACTTTCCTTGTTGGTAAGTAATTCTTTGAGCTCATTTATTTCTTCTTCCATTTCCTTTACAGTACTTTTAAGTGCATTCATCACCTGCTGGTGTTCAGCAATTGGCAATGAGTTTTGTTTCTGAGTGTCTAACAGCTGCTTTAGTTCTTCTGCTTCATCTAATACTTTTGTGTACTGGGATTTCATTTCTAATAACTCATTCTCTGCTTTGTATTTCAAAGAATTTGTTACCTGCATCAGCTTCTCATGTTCATCTCTAGGTATGTAGTCCACAGCTATATCATCTAGAGTTTTTCTCTTCCTATAATCTTCAAGCTCTGCTTGTGCTTCTTTGTACAACTGGGACAATTCACTAAGTTGTCTGTTGAGCTCATCTATCATTCTGTGCATTGCATCTTTCATTTCTCCGGATTCAGTACTAGACTCTAAATGTGTCTGATTTGTCAGCTTGTCCTGTAGCCTTTTAATTTCCTCTTGTCCTTCTTTGTACCTCTCAATCAACAGTGCCTTCTCCTGATTAATGTTATCAATAACTGAACAGTATGAATTCTTTAATTCCTCACATTCTTCCACAGACAGTTTGCTTGTAACACTCTGCTCTCTTTCTTCAAACTTCTTCTGTAGTTCTCTCACTTTCTCTTTTTGTCTTTCACTTTCCTCCAGGGCTCTCTTCAGTTCTTGCCTAAGCATCTCAACTTCTTCACATGTAACCTTCAACTTACTCATCTCGGAACAAGTTTCTTCACTTTCAGAGGAAACAAGACCCAGTTTCACTTGCTTTTGTACATTTAAAACCTCTTTCACCGATTCCTCATTCTTGTTTTGAGTTTCTTGGATTTTCAGGTTAGGATCAGAGCCATTTTCTGAGATGTGTGCGTTATTCAAATGATCTGCTTCTGGGACTCTAGACTGGACCTGAGCTTCTAAGTGCTTTGTTTTGGTTTCAGAATTCTCTAATTTCCTTTGTGCATCCTTTAATTCTTCCTGGAGGTACTTTGTTTTTATTTCACTGGGGCTTGTCAACTTTTCTTGAGACTGGGTGACATTTATAGTAGACTTCAGCTCCTGAGCTGAGAACTCGCTTTGTCTATCTGCAGTTTGATCAAACTCTTTTTGGGTTGAATGATAAGAATCTATGGTAGAATCCACTTCTTTAGGTGCTCTTTCCTGTGCAAAAATAAATCCAAACAAATGCATGATTAGAACAAATACATGGTGCTCTTTTTGTTTTCCCTTTTTTATAATAGAGTATGCAAGAAATTCTTGCCACATCCTACAGAGATGGGTAATTAAAACTCAACAGAAGCAATCTGCAGGAGAACTCAAAATCCAGGTGGTCCCATTTTATCATCTACAGTGAGGGATGGCAAAGGCTGTAACTACCAGCCTGTTCTGAAAGTCTGTACTGATCTCAATAAACTAATAATCACAGCTACACAAATTAAAATTCTGCTAACACAATTCTTATCAGTATATTTTAGAATGCAATTATTGTAGTAAACAAAGGTAAAAATGAGAATATCAAAATACTAATTTTAATCCTTCCAGAACAGAGCACTTCCATTACCTTACCACAACAAGATCTTTTTATCTTCACAGTACATCTCTTTAAATTGGTAAGGAGCACTTTGTTCTGCTCAAAAATTAGCAAAGCATTAGAGCAGCAAAGAATACCCTACCTGTAATTTGTCCTGTAATTCCTTATTGTGTAATGTCAAAGAAGCAATTTTTGCTTGCATCAGCATAAGTAGATCTTGCTGTTCAGTTTCAGAACTCACATCCAACAAACTGTCAGCACCTTTGAAGGGAAAAAAAAAAAAGATCAAAACTTTTAAAAGCTGAACTGATCCCAGAGATAGATAGTTATTCTGCATTTCAAATTAAACAGTTTGTTTCCATGACCATTAAGTGCAGTGAACAAGTGGACATTTTCCCAAAAATTTGTTAGGAGAACCAGTACAAGCAGGAAGTATTGGTGGGAACTGGCAGTGAAATTACAGAATGTTACTGCAGCACTTATTGGAGCTCACATTCTAAGTGGAAAGGCACAGAAGATTTCTGACCAGATTTAAACTTTTCACACAACTTCAAAATGCTTAATTAAGTATGAAAATAAGAATTAAGCTTTATCATATACCTGCGGTGCTGTCACTTAGTCTGTCTTTATTATCTTGAAGCAAGGAGCTGAAGTCTTCCTGCTGAGACATCAGAAGAAAATACTTTCACAGACAGCAGATAAAAGTTGAACAGTTCACAGAAGATAAATATCGATAGCATAAATCTTGCTGGAAGAAATCTGTCACGAGGGATTTCTTTTGTTTCTGGGGTCCTGTTTAATTGTGGCAGGTGGCCAGTACTCATTAAATATTAATGAAATTGGGTCAACTGTCTCACAGATAGTTTGAAAAGCTGCAGACCCTGTGATAAATGACTGCAATATACTGTAGTGTACTTAAAAAGAAATCTTCAAAACTATAAGAAAAATACCAGACAGCACACATTCTAGTATTTGATGACTTTTTGTGACTCTGCTTTTTGCATCACATAATCTCATGTACCTCACTGGTATTAGCTAATGAGCTCTCACACCATTAATATTCCATAACCATATTCCTACATACTTTACTAGCTTACGAATAATTCTATTTAGATATTTAGTAAATAGTGAAGTAATCCACATTTGCTTTGTAAAATTATACGGAAATATGAGGATCGCACTAAAAGTAATGCCTTCTATTTTATTATGTTGGCTTATGATGTCAGAGGTGGATGTTGGTGGTATGGCAGTACAGGCTGAACCATCACATGATGTTGCTGGGGGCAGAGGGGCAGCAGAGGGGCAATCTGACAGAATGGCATCTGACATGAAAGTGTGGATGAAGAAAAGGTGTGTCACTGAATTCCTCCATGAGGAAAAAAGTGGCACACACTGACATTCACTGGCACATAAGCATTTAGTTTATGGAGCCCAAACAATGGATGTGAGCACAGTGAGGTGGCAGGTGGTTTGTTGCAGCACTGGGGTCAGTGACAATGGATTACATCTGCTGGTGCAGACTTTTATGAATGGGGCATGCAGGTGCTTGTCCATAGTTGGCAAAGATGCACTGGTAATGGTAGTGACTGTGTTAAAAAATAGTGTTTTGTAGATGAGAATTTGTATACTGTGCATTTTGTAACTGTTGTTGTTTCAGCAGAAACAAATAGGAGGCATTACTTTCAAAACATCCCTTGCAGATTTGGATTCTTTCTCTTCCAAAAACTTAGCTAATTAATTCAAGGAAATTCTGCAGTCAACAAAATAAATTATTAAAGTACTACACTTTTTTTCCCCCCACTTAGTAAGAACAAAAAACTTTGGTATCTTGCATACTTGGTCAGCAAAGAAAGCCTGTCCTTTTCCAGTCATAGGAGTCGAAGTTGATGACCGTGGAGAGGACAAATCACTAAGCTGTAAAAGATTTTGTATAAATAAGTACACGCATGCATTCATAGGAATAATCCTTCAACATGTGCTATATATAGACATATACATGAGCATGAATACTTTTCCTTGCACTCAAGAAAACTCTGTCAAAACTCTGGGTAAGTTTCAAAGAGCAGATTTAATTATTCAGTGCTCTTCTGAGCCAGTATCACTTTTCCAGAGTAGCTGTTGTAACAGATAGAGACTAACTGTAAACCCAAATGTGAAGTTGCATTTTGATACCATACAAATCTGTTTCAGTATTTTACTATCCTTTGTAAATATGCGTATAAAAATGCGGATATATATGTACATAGATATAAAAAATATGAAATTATTCACTTCTGCGTCTACAAAACCACAAGACCTTCAACTTTAGATGGAAGAAGCACCTATACAGTAAAATTTGTACTGCTGTATCCCAGCCCATTCTATATTTCTATATTTTCTCATTCAACCTAACCAACACACATTTTCGTCTTAATGTCTGAAGAAGCACTCACAATAAGAAGGTATATACAATAAGAGTGACAGAGCCCACATTATTCACATAATGGTTAAAACACTCTTCATCCCCTAAAAGTGTCTCAAGATTGGTCTTTTCTTTACCTGCATAGGACTGATAGGAGGAGGTGGGGCTTTGCGTTTTTTTGGAGTTCCACTTCTTTCTGAACTTAATTTAGAGCCTTGATCATGCTGAAAGTTCCACCAGCCAGAAAAGGTAAGTTTGTTAGTTTGGTTAGTAAAGTCCGAGCAAGTTGTTTCACAAAAAAATAAAATAAAATAAAATTCCACATTAATATCAACTTCAGCAGCTCATGCAGTTCCTTTATCCTCTCTGTAAAGACTATATCCTTATTAACACAAAAATATTAAACATGCCTGACAATAAGAACCTGTTCTGTTGTAATCCATGCTTCAGTGAAAACAAATAAGATTTAGTGAAAAAGCCAAAGCTGACAACAGGTTTAGCACTAGTGATCTCAGATACTCCTGTAAATTCATTCTTAGTCCAGTCATGCCATTCTTAACAATTACCATCTTCCCTCTCCTTCAGCTTGTGCCTGAGCTCCTTGAAACACTGAACTTCTCCATTTAGAGAAAAAAATCAATCAATGACATCCTCATCCCATTTTCAGCCACTAGCAGTTCTACAAGACACTTGCACTACAAGATATCATGATAATGCATGTATTTAACTGTCTAAATCTGCTGAGAGTTTCTAAGGTATATCTCCCATAGTATGATGCAACTAGGGACAACCTTCAGTTGCTTTGGAAGCAAGAGACTTTTCCCTAGATCATTTTCTCTACAGTTTGAAGAGACAGAGTTGAAGAGCCAAGCCAAGTCTTATACATGAGAATGGTGGAACATTTTCCAGGTACATAAGTGCACATATACATGCATTTTCCCTCCCTTCTGTCTCTGGGAAGGACGCCTACTGTTACAGAGGGAAGCTAAATCTAAAAATGAATTTCTTGAAACACATTTCTTAAATAAGCAACAAAAACTTTTCACGTTACAGAGTAGTCACTAGCAGTACATCTCATAGTGATATTTACTACTGCTGCTAGTCAAGTCAGTTAATATTTTTTCCTATGTTACAAGCCTGTATAGTCAAAATATTTTTAAGTCCAAAAGAATACATACCTGCTTTGCTTTTGTTGGTGATTTTGCATCTGTGAAGCAGAAAAAAGCAGAAGTAGGAGCAGTTATCAAAGTTACATTTCTAAATCATCTTCCAGCTTTACTTCCCACGCCATTGTTTGCTTTTTGAATTTGTTTGAAATCTAAGCAGTATTTCAAAATTCCGTTCATGTTTTATCCTGATATGCTGATACAAAATTCAAAACATTGTGATAATCCTGCTTCTACTGTAGTCTCTCACTGTTCTTTACCTCAGCTTCCTATTTCAGAAATCTGTAATAGCTTGACCATAACTCCCTCTCCACATTAGTTCCTTCTGAACTCTTCTACTGAGGAGCTGAACTTAATTTTTCAAATAATAAAGAGGATCTACTTCAAATTCTAAGCAATACCTCATCATGCTTCTTCATCAGCTTGCCTTGTTCTTCTTTAGAACACCTCTTTTTGCCCTGCTGAATATTTTATCTCATGTTAGAGAATAACCACTTGGAGCAAGTGTCACTTTTTCCTGGTTTGGGAAGCTTCAGCTAGACCTATCAACAAAGACAGCTTTTGAAAATTTTCAAGTGATGGAGTGACGGCATTGGTGGGCAGGGGAAAGGTGATGGATGTCATCTATCTGAACTTCTGCAAAGCCTTCAACATGGTCCATCACAACTCCCTTCTCTCTAAATTGGAGACGTGTGGATTTGAAAGATGGACTGTTTGATGGGTTAAGAACTGATTGGCTGGTGACAGCCAAAGGGTTGTGATCAATGGTTCTGCGTCAGGATGGAGGCGGTCACAAGCAGTGTCCCTCAGGGGTCAGTCTTGGGACTGGTGCTCTTCAACATCTTTATCAGTGACACAGATGATGGAATTGAGTGCACCCTCAGCAAGTTTGCAGACGACACCAAGCTGAGCAGTGCACACTGCAAGGAAAGGAAGCCATCCAGAGGGATCTGGAGAGGCTGGAGAAGAGGGCCCATGAGAACCTAATGAGGTTCAATACGGCCAAGTGCAAGGTGCTGCACCTGGGCTGGGTGAAAAACCCTTGAGAGCAGCCCTGTGGTGAAGGACTTGGGGGTCCTGGTAGTTGAGAAGCTGGACATGAGCCAGCAGTGTGTGCTTGCAGCCTGGAAGGCCAACTGTGTGCTGGGCTGTGTTAACAGAGGAGTGGCCAGCAGGGAGAAGGAGGTGATTGTCCTGCTCTACTCAGCTCTTGTGAGGCCCCATCTGCAGTACTGTGTCCAGATCTGGGGTTCCCAGCACAAGAAAGATGCAGAGCTCTTGGAGCGTGTCCAGAGGAGGGCCACTAAGATAATCAAAGGGCTGGAGCACCTCTCCTATGAGGAAAGGTTGAGGGAACTGGGCTTGTTCAGCTTGGAGAAGAGAAGGCTCTGGGGAGACCTCACTGTGGCCTTCCAGTACTTGAAGGGAGCATATAAACAGGAGGGGCAATGGCTGTTTACAAGGGTGGATAGTGATAGGGCAAGAGAGAATGGTTTTAAACTGAAACAGGGGAAGTTTAGGTTAGATATTAGGAGGAAGTTTTTCACACAGAGGGTGGTGAGGCACTGGAACAGGTTGCCCAAGGAGGCTGTAGATGCCCCATCCCTGGAGGCATTCAAGGCCAGGCTGGATGTGGCTCTGGGTAGCCTGGTCTGGTTGTTGGTGACTCTATATATAGCAGGGGGTTTGAAACTAGATTATCATTGGGTCCTTTTCAAACCAGCCCATTCTATGATTCTGTGATTCTATGAAGTTACTCCATGAAGTAAATTTCTTTGTTGCTACACACAGAAGTAGCCAATTCAAAGTTATAAACTGCAGATCAGAATCTCTTACGTACCAACATCCTGAGATATTTTTGATGACAGCAGGTTCTGGATTCCCACATTCTCAGAGATCTTGGAATAATGCAGCGCATTCTGTCCAAAAACATCTACTAAACTGACATCTGCACCTTTCCTAAGGAACACTTCCACCATGTTAAGGCTACCAGCTTCACAAGCCATCATCAAAGCAGTTCTGGACAAAAGAAACAAGGATAAAAATGTCAAGAGAAACTTTTGAAGCAGCAGCTCATTTTTTCAGGAGAAAAATGTAACAGGCATTGTGCAATGTAGACAAAGATTTTATCACCATGTGCCTTGAAGTATATAAGTAACCATCATCTCTCTGCACAAACTTTCCTACCCTTCCTTCTCCTTCCTCATATATCCCAGCTGGACCTTCTGCAAAAACCTGTTATGGTTTTGCACATGTTTACAAACATTTTTGAAAATGGGTTCTTGAGGCTAAGAGTTGGCTGCTGAATAAAGTCAGATTATCAAATTTCACTCACTCCAATTACAACACAAAAGCCTTTATTTCATTTGTCTACATTTCACATGTTGCTTTTAGGTAAAATAGAGAGCTGTTATTCCAAAAGCCAAACAAATTTCTCCAAACTTTTCACTGAGACTGTGAGGTGGGTTTCACCTTAAACCTTGCCCTATTTTTGAAGAAAAACAACAAAAAGAATCTCTTTAGAGCACAACCAGTGCCCTCTCCACCACAGGGCAGCTAGACAGCGCCAGATCCAACAGTGGGCATGACATACAGGAGTGTTTACCTAAAAGGCTTTATCTCTTTTACTTTTGAGCAGGTAACACCTCAAGTTCAAAGTACCAGCGAGGCCATTCAAACCAACCAAGAAAACAAAGGGGTTTTCTTTAACTAACTTAAAACAAAAGTGGACTAATAAAACTTTTAACTCATATAAACTAGGCTAGGCCCAGTCTTATCCTCTCACGTGTTTGTGAAGAACAGTATGGGCACTGTATCACATAATAGTGAGAATAGCTACTAACTGTAAGTGCCAAGTGTTCTCAGCATCCTGCTCTACCTTTTCAGTTTCAGCAAACATTTATGAAACTTTATCAGTATCATCAAAACAAGTGCATTTTTCCACAATAACAATGTTCTGATTTAAAAACAATACTATGAAATACCAGATATTTATGACATACTATATGTCTATTAATGCAGTAAGTTTCTAAATGGCACCTTTTGAGAAGACAGCATCTCCATTATATAGTTCTACTGTATTTTTTCTTGCTGCTGTGGCAGAAATGAGAGCTTCTCATGGATGTCACTTCTAAGTAATAGTTTAGGATTTAAGTCAGCAAAACTAACTCAGGCGAAGAACAGAGAGAGCAGCATTGAAAATGTGGGACATGTGCAAAGTGATTGCTATCATTTCGATCATTTAGAATGCTATCATTTAGATTCTTGTGGGAATGATTTTAAAATAGGATTTGGTGTTCTGGTAACACAAGGAAAAGCTTACAGTTTACTTTGGTTTAGAGTTACTTAGCTTCTCTTTTGCTTTTCTCATTGGGCAGAATTCCGTAAGCCTTCTCAACAATGTCTAGTATTCACGTTCTCTAGTACTGGGGACATTGTTCCATGTAATGACTATTCTGGGTAGGGAACTTCATTTGACAGTCAGCCTTAGGAAAGAATTAACAGGGTGATGTTAACCTACTGTACCTTCCATTTTTATCCCTTGTGTTGATGTCTGCTCCGTGATCCAGAAGGTATTTACAGACCTCTGTATGGCCATTTTGTACTGCAAGCAGCAGAGGTATGTTCCCATCCTAGGAATGCATTTAAAGAAACCATAAACAATAATTTGACAACTTACAAATACAACTCTGAGGTTTAAAGGTCAGATATGAACTTTTCTTCTACACAGCACAAACAAGGCACTGTATATTTTTCTTGTGTATTATAAATGTAGCTGGCTTTATTTAATTCCTTCCTTGACCTTGGGGGATGGATTCACTCAGCAAAGCATCGAGAATAGGAATGCTCTTTGCTGTCTGTACTCCCTTTTCTCTTTGCTTAATGCTACAACATAGTGATTTTGCAACTGTACAATACCTTAGGTATCTCCACAAGAAAAGGGTAACTTTGAGAACTAGGCAAAACTGCAACATTTCATAGAATCGCAGAATAACTGTACTGGAAGACGCCTTTAGAAATTATGCGGTGTTTCTTCCTCTTTGTCTTCAGTCAAAAGCAAGGCAAACTTCACATTATGGTACACTGCTCAGAGACTTGTCTGAACAGGTTTTAAGCATGTCCAAGGACACAGAAAGCATGTCTCAGTCTCATTTCCAGTGTTTCACCAACTGCGTGGTAAGAATTATTTTATTCCTTAATACGTAACTGGAATTTCCCAACTAGCTTCACTGCCCAAATTGTAACCGCTGCTTGTCATCATTTCTGAGGTCAATTTGTCTCTGTCTTCTTTACGATCACTCATTATGTAGTCAAGGACATAAAAGATTTTCCCACAGCCTTCTCTTCTAATGATTAGAAAATCTTTTTGGTCTTTAAAATACATCTGCTGAAATTTTAGCTTTAATCTTTGTGATTGTTGTTTGTTTGTCTTAATATACCAAAAAGACCAGATGAGGAAAGATCCCAAACCTCCAAAACACTCAACAAACAAAACAATTTAAAAAAAAAAAAAGAAATTTTGAAAAAAGATTAGATATTTTAATGCTTCCCTCCTCCCTCCTTTTCTTTTCTCTTTTTTTCTAATTTCTGTCAGATCCCCGTAACAGAATTTTCTAAGAGGCAATTGCCACTACAGATCTGATTGTTTTTAGGTGTTTTGTGCTAGCCATTGTACTGTCCCTTAGCCTTTACACTACACCAAATATATTTCTTCCCCCAGGTTTAACATACTCTTTTATTTTCCTTAAGCATTTCACAGTACCTGAAAGGCCCATGTAACGGTCTTTCTCAAAGCCTACTGGAGTAAATGGAGTCAACAATCATGTCTTAAATATACCCAATTTAATTCTAGCTACTTCTAAAAATCTTGCAATTTAACTAGCAGCAAACCTTGCCACCAGTGAGTTTCATGGCTATGGCAAGCCATGAAAGGAGCATTGTCAGAGAAATTCAAAATGAAATAGAAAAGCAATAATAGTTTCAACTGCAGTACTTGAACTTGATTGAAGTGGAGGGCAGTAAAACTTTGGGAAAAGCACAAAGAGGTACATACCAAATCTTTGATGTTAATTGGACATTTGTGTTCACAGAGAAGTTGAACTGCCTGAAGACAACCACATGTCGCTAAAAGAAGAAAAAACATTAAAATCCATTAAACTTTATTTTTTGAAATTCGTGTTCCACGCTTACGCTTGCAATACTGTAGCATAATACTGGGATTCAAGAAAAACAAATTAAACTGTATCTATCTATTTTTAAGAAAGAAGGTAAGAAAGACAAATAGGACGAAGAGCAAGCTGTATGCAGAAACAAAACAGACATTATAGTCCAAACTAACACGAGAACATATAATCTCTAGACACTGAAATCGGAATCAGCCTAGTCTTACTTTTCAAGTCTTTCAACGGCTTTGCAAATGCAGGAGTGTATTTGCTGGCTGTAATCAACTGAAATTCAATATTCAGAGTATTTATCTAAAAATATCCAGAATTTGTCATCTATGAGAATGGATATGCAACACTCGGCTACTCAAATCTTCAATTAATCAATAATATATTAATTTTACAAAAGTAAGTAAATTTTCACTGCCAGATTAAAAATGCAAGTGTTTCAAAAAGTGTTGATATTTAATTGGAAAAAAAAATCAAAAAGTTAGTAAAAGAAAGCCAGCAAAAATTTTAAAATAGAGAGAGAAAAGAAAAGGGAATGAAAGAGCAGAAATAAAGCCTGCTTTAATATAGTTTACCATTCTTTCTGCTATTTTTCCCATCAGTAAAAAGCTATACCAACTCAAGAGCTGAGAAAATCAAGCATAACAAAATAGATGGTGCATGCTTTCAACAAAGAAGTTACCTGCATAATGTAAAGCTGTTTTCCCACAGTTGTCAGTGCTGTATACTGAACATTTATACTGCACAGTTCAGAAAGGAGAAAAAAAAAAAAATTAGAGAAACGTCAAAAAAATAAAACACACGTGATGAGCAGAACAGACAGCTGAACATGTCTGAGAATAGTTCTATGAGCTTCTACAGAAAGCTCAGTCCATACAATAGAAATGAACAAGAATACTGATAAAAGACACAGCTTTACTCTCTATTGATCTCAACTGTCCTTTCTTGTTAACAGCTTATACACAGTAAACATGCATGGTGAGGATGTACCTAAAAAAAATTGTTTTGGAACAATTTATATTCAAAAACCAACAAACTAAGAATCTGACTTCCATGCCTCAGAAAAGCTTCCTATTTTACATTCCACTAAAAGCTAAAGCAACCTTAGCCTAAGGCAATTAATCCAAAATTATTCCTGTTAAAGCAAATAACACTTTTTTTCCATTTGTAAAATCTAACGCATCTACAATCCAGTTATATTTTGTAGTATTTTAAGCCACCTGTTACTACTGGCCAAGCTAGGCTTTGAAGTACTAAACGTAAAAATATCAAATTGCAAATCTTTATCCAGACTTACTTTGGTACAGAAAATTTTAGTTTATGACAAATAAAGATATCACACTGAAATAATAGATTTCTGAAATCAAATATTATATATTCTGACTTTCAGGTATAGCATCACCTCCAGTACTTCCTTGATTTCCTAGGCAAACAGTTTCATGTAAATTACCAAATTTCATTTAAAAAACTCAAGATTCATTCTGTGTAAAACAATTATTTATGCTACGATTAGACATTTCTTCCACGTAGAAAGAGCTTTTATGACAAAGCCAGTCAACAGAAGCAACAAAGCATTCCAAAGAGCATGAGAGCATCCTCCAAGAGCACTGGAGAATATTAACAAAGGATTTTCACTTACAAACTTGTTTAGAAATGCATTTTATAATAAAATTAACAAAACATTCTCTGGTTGTAGCTGTCAGGTAAGTGGGCAGCAAATATTTGGTACTAAACACATTCATCTGCTGCACTGATTGTATGCTGCTGCATGCGATACAATTAATGACAGCTTGATGTCACTGTTTATGCTCTAAATGGATTTACTCTAGAATTAGTAGATTTTTCTAATGAAATCCCAAAGTGGACAGTCTCCTCACTTAATGATAATCTCTTCCAAGTGTTCAAGAAAAGATGGAGAGAAGCAGTGATGTCAGTAAATACAGTGAGTAGGAATTAGTGAAATTGGACCCAGTTCAGTAACAGGCATTGAGAGAGATCAGTGAAAACTGAATTGGAGAGCCCAGAAGTAGCCAGAGGAAAACAATTATGAAGCTGAGATATAGGATCCAATTTCTTTCTGTACCGCTGCACTCAGGCAGTGTTATTTTGTAGGCTTATTATTTCATACAAATTCTTTGCCAGTCTTTTGATAAATCTATGTTTCTAAAAAACTGACCCACTACTCTGATCACCCCGATCACCAGAATTTACCTGTCCTTCTGAAACGCAGTTGAGATGGACATCCCTTCTTGTTTGCTAACACACAACTTCAGCATTAATGTCAAAAGAATCTTCTCTTCCTCTTCCATTTTTCTTGGCTTTTTCTCCCCCACTTTTTTCTACTCCATTTCTAACTTTTCACTGTCCTTTCACTCATTTCACCAAGGATTTGAGTATTTCCATATTTTAGTATCCAAACTACTTTGGTTTCTTTCCCTTTGACTCAACAAATGGATTATTTTATATTGCACAGACAGAATACATTCGGTTAGATCAATATCAAAGTTTCACTACAAATGAAGAATTCTTTTTCCCTGTATCTCTTATACATCATCTACTTCCAACCCACCCAGACACACAGACTATGGGAAACGTCAAGCTGCACCCTGCTTCAGACCCAGCCTTTCTATGTTGGAGCCACTGCATATGGAAAACTGAAACTGTGGACCACTCAGAGGAGATACCACACTGTTTTATATCATTTAGCCACACAGTGCCTAAAAGATCTTAAACTCAAGAACATCTATCAGTTGCAGGAAAAAAGGACAACAGAACAAGAGTGTGATGCAGACCATGAATGTGCGTCTTGATGTTAGGCAAACAACATAAGCCTCATAAAACTGGAGACATGAACTTTATGTTTGCAGTTATCTTAAGGTAATGATAAGATAAAGTCACAGTGAGGTTCTTGATGCCCTGTCCCTGGAGGTATTCAAGGCTGGGTTGGGTTGGATGGTGTCCTGGACAACCTGATCTAGTGCTTGATCTAATGATTGGCAACCCTGCCCATGGCAGTCGGTTGGAACCAGGTTATCTTTGAGGTCCCTTCCATCCCAAGCCATTATATGATTCTATGATTAGCAGGAAATGCATTGATATCCAGTGAAGAACCACCAAAGAAAAATAAAAATATATAAATAATCAAAATTAGTTTAATTTTTACTTTACCTGAAGTAACCTCTTAATGCAGTCAAGGTGGCTGTTCTTCACTGCAAGATGTAAAGCACTGTGTCCTACATCAACACATGCAAAGCAAAGTTAGTATTCAGCCACTCAAGGACACTGGAATAAACTCTTCCATAACAAAGGCAAGACTTTTAATTGACCATCAACACATGAAAAGTATAGACAAATAAAATAAAATCTACATCAAGCAGAATATAGTTACAACAGACTATTGTTCAGGCAGGGAACAGGATAATCTTAATGTCTACTTTCAGATATAGGAATGACAGAAACTTTGTGACAAAACCTGCCTCCCTTGCATGTGTCTGCTTTACTTTTTTTTTCCCCTCTGATTAAAAAGGAACCCATTTTGGAGAGCAAAAACATCCAAATTCACCAGCTACCACTACGACAAATTTGAATCAACTACAGAATGCACACATAAAATGATGACTCAGAGCATATGACTACTTTGTTTCTGCATTTAATAGGCTCCTCTTCCTATTAATTTACTTAGCAACTATGAGCTCATATTTAGCAATGCAATACAGTGATTTACTAACTATCGATTTATGATTAAAGATTTCGCAGTCTGTCCTCTAGTTCCTTCTTACACAACACATGAAAAATCTTAAAGGCCAAAGACAGCAGAAGACTAAATTATCTATAAAAAAAGAAAAGAGTTATGATTTAGTAATCAATACAGACAGGAGATCCACTTATGAAGAACCTCACAGTAAATAATGAGACTTTAGCAGGAAAGGCATTACCTAAGGAATGCAGAGTTGACACTCTCAAGAGTGAGCAGACAACCTACTATTATCTAAGTGACTAATAAATCTTGAGGCAAGATGAAGTATGAATGCTGAATAATAGTCCGTGTCAGGTGTGTATATTCTCTTATCATTACATTTAATCTGAATGCTTCTTCCAGTATCACAGATGCTTTCTCACAGAGGCATACAATTTCTGTTCATGACAAATTCAACCAGGCTGGAAGCAATGGCTAAAACAGACCCAGTGAACCCAATTGACAAATCATTACAAGAAAGACAGAGTACTGACACCACAGTTAGGTGATTCTGCTAGACAGAGGAAACGCTGGGCACAGACCACAGATAGGTCAACTGAAATCTATTAAGAAGAGTTCGCCAATTTCAAATTCAGCTCTCATCATTCTCCTACTAGAGTACTAATTAAGGTACAGGACTTTCGAGGAGTGAAGCAGCACACTTAATAGCTCTCAGCTCAGTTTGGCCTGTATCAGCAATTTTCACTATGTCATAATCCTGAGGAAACTGCAACTTCAGTACAGTTAAATGGGTTAATAGCTTGGATACACATAAAAGCAAAGCACAAGATCTTGATTTAATCTAAGCAAAGTCTTAAATGAAATGACCAAAAAGCTGGGAGGGGAGAGGAGACAGGCAGGGAAGAGAGAAGGGAAATTATAATAATATCAACAGCAATAATTAATAAAATTAACTAGTTTGCAATTACTGGAGTCAGCTATAAATGCTGATATTTATAGCATATGGGCTAAAAATCTCCATTCTATATGCAGTAAAGCAAGTATTTCTAAACTGCATAGGTTACAATGTGGTGTGAATTGAAGGGAGCAGCACTGCCAAATTTGCACATCAAGACTTACAGGCAAATGAAGCATATTGCATTGTATGTGTAGGTTCACAGAGGCATACCTGCACCATCTTGGGCTGTCACATCTGCACCATGTGTCACCATAATCCTGAGGCATTCTGCATGTCCTTTTGTGGCTGCCAGGTGAAAACTGGAAGAGAGTATTTATATGACACTTTTCTGTTTCTAAGACCTTCTTTATCTTTCATTCACAAACCAAGTACTAGCAAGTTCTCCCATTCCTGTCCTTAGGTCTTCTGGCAACCCTCCACTACCTCCCAAGAAGATAATAGCTCTGAAAGTGAGAAGGCACATCAAAAAGCTTTTGTATTCATGTATTTATATAGGCTGCTGTTTTGTAAACCCATGCCATATACCTCATGTGCATCTATCTAATGAATTTCTAAACCAATACCCTTAGTGATGCAATATATCCCCATAGAATGCATGGACTTGGGAAATTACTAAAGAAAGCATTCACAAAAACTGGCTTTGCTCTACTTGCTTCGCACTCAGGACAATCTTAATTTTCCTCTTTCAGCAGACAGTATCCTCTAAGAGTTGATTCTGTTCCTAAATTAAACTGAATCAAGTTCTGCTTCTGAATTGCCCTCTTCAGAGTAAATCTTTCTTCACTGCAGAGGTGAAACGAAAACCCTGAGACGGTGCATGTGAAAGCAGCCTGGAGATACCAAAGCTATTGGATATTTGTGAAACTATACTAAAGATGTATTTTGCAACTTTTGGTTTTGCTTTTCATTTGAAGTATCTGCTTGTTTGAACAGCAGAAGTTTGCAGAGGTTACAAACCATACCATGACTGGACGCACTGAAGAGCATAAATTACCAAAGATGAAATTATAGAACAAACCAAAGACATTATGCTTAATTCAAGCCTTTTTATACTGAGTATACATCTTTGACATTGTTAGCACCTCCAGATTCACAGGAGCTATCTTATACACATGCTTCTGGCTTAATTAAGTGGAGAAGCAAATTCAAAGAAAAAATGTATGAAAATGGAGAAGTTTATATCCTTCTGATACATGTTGTGCCAACATAAGTGAGTCACGCACAGGAAGATTTACTGCTTCCCCACAGTCCTGCTATTATCAGCTTAATACACATTAGGAATAATGTTTAAAAAAAAGAAAAAATGGAAAGAAAAAAAAAACAAAAAACAGAGATAAAACACTTCTAACAATTACTGTTAAATAGTGTATTAAAAGCTAGAATCATCCTAAGCATGGCCCAAATTGAAAAAGCCTGTAATCCTGGGGTGTTTTCTTACATCTTATAAAAAAGTTCATTTTTAACACCACACATCTCTGTGTTAAAAGCTTTTTCCTCCAGAATCTAAGAGGCATCTAACTAATCATGTAGATATTTCATAGTATTTATGAGTTTATATTTTGGACAACAGTTTCCTTTAAATGTTAAAACTAATATTGAAAGTTTAGCCTGCTAAGCAGAACAACTAGAATAACAGGCAAAAATGAAATGCGTATTTCTGGCACAGAGTATGTGAACTGCAACACCATTTCTCTATGCTATAGGCTTTTCTTTGCAGCTTCCCTGGAAAAACAGCAGAGGAAAAAGACCTACTGTCAAGATGTGGCAAAGAGCTGAGAATTAATCAAAACACGAGAGCTCTGGGAATGAAGTCCTGTACCAAATACAGCAACCACCTCTCTTCCTCCATGAAGTCCTTCTATCTTGCCGTCTGCTGCCTACAAATACTAGGCAGGCAGTGCTTAAGGCTTCAAACTGTTCTCTGCAAATGTAAAAATATTCTGTATGCTCATCCACACTCTTACAGCTGCCATATACAAACTGAACAGAGGCATAACTAAATACTTCAAAAAGCACAAAAAGTACTGCCGCTAGCTGTTCTCTGGTCGTTCAAAAAAAACCAAAACTTTACGTTCCTGCTAATCAATGCAAAGTTGTGTGTTAACATTCTTCTTTAGAAGAAGGGTTTTCTCAGGCTTTAAGAAAATAGCTGGAACAGGGAGCAAGGAATCTGACAAATTCCAACACTTCTAATTTGGCCAACACATAATATCCACTGAATAATACTGAAACAGACTCAGAAACAGTTGTGTAGACATGCAATACAACTGAAATCAATTAAACTTCAGGAACACCATGATGCATGCACTTTGCTCATTTACATTTGACAGTATTCATAGAATAATAAATACTTGAATAATAATAACTTGGCTAAATCTAGGACATTAAGATTTTACAGAGAGGCTGTGGAGAGTAGTGCCAAGTGCAACAAGAGTATGCAAGAGCAAAAGAAGTTTGATTTAGATAAAATCAGACTGCAAAGAAAGCATAAAAAATAATAAAAAAAGAAAACCTTAACCCCTTTCAGGCTGTGCACCTAAGAACACATCAATCCCACAAACACAAATAATTCCTAAGGAAGTTCTCAACAAGAAACTACACTTAGTTTCATGCTATCCAAAAATTTACAAGTAAAGAGTAAAAGTACTGCTTGTCCCAAATTACTAAGATGAAGAATCATCATCTGTCAGCAAAACAGGTATTGAGAAAGCTGAGAGAATGTGTGAAGTATCTAACAAAAGCACAGAAGTAATCTGCAGAGTCCCAGGAAAGGAGAGTACAATGAGGTTTACCTCACATTCATTCACAGTTACCTAAGCCTAACAGTGTTGGGACTGCTACAACTCCCTCCCACAAGTTTTCTGCATATCCCTTCCTTACTGCTACCAAGTCTCATATAACTCTGAAAGTCAATTTTTTTCTTGAAGATCTAAAAGTGATTGAGATGTGAAGCTTGTTTAGTTAGCTGCCTCTTTGGTGAACTGAACTGGCTTACTGGAAATCTGTCCTGCTTATGAAATACAAGAGAATTATTCCAGACCGGGACGATCCTATTACAATCATACGTAAGTCAAAGTATGTAACAGAGCACTGAACAAAAACCTCCCTATGAGGAGTAATTCTCCTTTATTTTGAAGTTACTATCCCCCTACTTTTTTCTTCTTTTCTCATCTGTTTAAAGACTAACAAACAAACAAGCAAACAAAACAACAACAACAACAAACAAATCAACCAACCAAAAAAAAAAAAACATCAACAACATCGAAATACCATCAGTAGTGGATATTGGGGACTGGTGTGCAACAAGGGAGGCTCTTGAAACAAAGAAGCCCGGAGACATTTATTTCAGAACAGAGTAACTCTGTACAAGCTATATAAGGTCTCTAAAACATTTGAGGCAAAAGCTGCAGGTCTCCAAACCCTAGAGTTCTCACCATCTAGAAGCATGGAAGAGTGGTACATTTCACTTGCATCCTTCATGAATAAACTTCCCCTTGAATGTAAGCAAACAACTTTCCTCCCACTTCCTTGCTGTACAGTGACAGGCAAACAAAAACAAACATGTGAGTCTTCATCTGGAGCAAGGGCCACGCTGAGTTACGTTCTGTATGGGAACTGCTGAATCACAGCCTGAACCTCTGACTGACCACCTGAGGTGAGCAATGAGTCAGCCCTGGGAGCACAGGTGAAGGCAATTCCTTCTAGACTCCATTTAAGAGCTGACAACTAGTGGGGAAGGATCTTGTTTGGATATTGTTCCTCTTGGAGTCTTCTCAGCTGAGTCCAGGACAAGGGTAAGTTTTCCATTTGTTCTTTAGCGTGAACAACCTGTTTAGTCTAACTTTCTAGTATATTTCTTGATCTGTATATTCATTGATTATACACATTTGCACTCAGCCTCACTCCCCATTCTAATGTAGTTCAGTTTCCCTTCACAAGAACCCTGTTGGTACCACCTCCAGCTACTTCTTGGTGCCCCAACCTGAACTGATTTGTGATAGATCTCCTATTGCTATAAAGCATCTCTACCATTCCTGTAAGGCAGGATGAACTTCTACCATTATCTCCAGAACATTCAGTGCAGCAGAGTAGCAGCTACCCTTCCCAGTGTTTTTTTCCTCCAATGACGACAGTCAGAATTTAGACTCGCCTCAGAGCACCTGACTAAGATCATCTGGTTGACACTGCTTTTTTTCTTACACGTGGATGTCACTGAAACAACAGTCCTAAATAAGCCAGTCCCACATTCAGCGCTAAGGATTTTTTTTCCATGTTTCAGTCATGAAGTCAAGCCAGCAAAGGAATGGAGCCTTCTTCAGTTGGTGACTGACAGAGTGCAAGAGTTCAGAGATAGCTAAGACGTCAAGAATGAACATTTCCAGAAATTATTTAATTACCATACAATATCTCAAACAGATGAGGGCTGTAATTTTTACTAATTAGCTCGTATAACCTATTTATTTACAAATATCTTCACAACAGCTAAAATAACAGAATTAATCAAAATTTAGATGTTAGACTTGTAAAAAAAAAAAAAAAAAAAAAAGCTAATTGAGCTTGTTGAGGTGTTGTTAGTAACAAGACATGAGTATACTGACTCCAGATTCTCTGCTTAACAATCTATATAGCTACATTCTGCAAAACTGAGCACAACCCTCTAACTGAATGTTATTTTGACAACTGGCTTAAAACAACTGGGTGGTCCATGCAACTAGGGAAAATACCACAAAAGTATAGTACAACACGATAAAACAAGAAAAAATAAAGCCTCAAGTTAATACTGTAACCTTCATGCACAAGGAAATTTTCACTTGCTTAAAGAAAAGCAAAATTAAAAGAGCAGAAAAAATATATCCTATTGGGTTCTGCAGTTCTGTCTGGAGCAGAACACAGAATTTCTCCAGAGCCTGAAAGAAGTCTAACACAGTATTCATCAAAATCCAAAGAAAATAAAGAACGTGGTTGAATTATGAATGCCAAGTGAACAGAAAACAGTTAATACAATATTATGACAAAGAAGAAAGTAAAACATGTATGCAAGCATACAGTGCTATTGTTCTCTACTATTTTATCTGAGTGGTCTGAAAATATTTTAAGTGCAAGAATGTTTGAAATACACTATGAACTCAAGGTTTATTTTGAGTAAAAACATCCCTCCCCAAAGCAGTTCATTCTTCTTCATTTTCTATATCGTACGTTAAATCTTTATTGACTTTCAAGAAATCTGGCTTGTCTGCCAACAGTCTGATGATTTACAGCTTCCCAACAGACCAATACCTTCAACAAACAAAGAAGACTG